GTCTTATGGATTCAAGATCATAGCACCACATGAATCTTGATTAAAAGTTTCAAGCTCGTGATGTGAAAGTTGAAGCAAGCCCTAAAATATAATGAATAGGGTGCAAAGAAGAATAAGAGAAGAGAGAAAACTTAGAGAGGGAACGTAGGTGCAATGAATGCAACCAATGAGAAATTGCTTGCTAGTATGGTATTAAAGATCTTTTTTTAATAAATTAGAATTTGATTTGACAAGTTTTATCAATTACAACACATCATTCATACAGATCACCGATAATGTAACTTTTCAAAATCAAATCTCATAACCGTCTGTCCATAATAATCCATCTCAGCCCATATGATTTATAAAAAACAAATCTTATAAGAACCTTCTCATGCATCTACATATTTGATCACCAAGTTGACACATAGTACTGTTTTGGAGCTTTTTTGAAATTTTCTTTTATATTAAGTTATAAATGTTAAGGTTCTTAAAATGTGAATGACTTGTGTAATTTGAGAAAAAGTAGAGTAAAATACCTTTAACTATCTTCTTATTGTCAAGTTTTTTAAATATTCCAAGAATGAAAGTAACTTAAAAATTTTACTGATCTTTCCAAAATTATTTGTACTGTTTCATGCAGTTGTGTAATTTTTTAATTTATTTTGAGTTACTTCCGCTGCTCTATCCATTATTAATGTAATTCCTTATAAAAAAAATGACTTAATGATATTGAATAGGTGATTTATATTAACCAAAATCAAACATAGACACTGGTATTGATAAAATCATCCCCATCTTAACATGATAATAATATTAACAATAACACGAAGATGAGACTGCAAGGTAATAAAGGTGACCACTGACTAGAATAACAATACATAAGAGATCTCCTACCCAAGTCTTCTCTTAAGTATTCTAGGAAAGAGAGATAACACCATTCAATTCTTTTATTATTTAGACAAACAGAATTGAAGTTCAAGATACTGTTCAGCGTTCAAGCCGCTGCTTCAGCAGCAGAGGAGACTTTCTGGACGACAAAAATAGGATCTCCCACTTTAACCATCTTTCCTTTCCCTTCAGTGAGACTTTCCTTGCAAACCAAGTTCTGCCCAAAATAGATCTGCCATAGCATGGAACGTCATTATTTACATATATCATTTGCATGGACAGCACACAGAAGAATAAAGCGAAAAGTTGTGAATTCACATCTGACCTTCCCCTGCTGTTTTTGGTTCGGTCGCAAAACCTTATCCGACCTGACTTTCTTAAGAGTTTCATTTGGCTCGGGCCCAGCAATTGCAGTGTCTTGATTGATTGTAGGTACCTAAGAAATGCACAATCATCTTTTATTAACTGTCTGAGGATACAATGTGCTTATGCATATGAACTGCACAGCTCTAATTGATGCCTTCAAATTTTTTTTTTTTGAAAGTTGACTTCAAATTTATTAGCACACAGAAAAAATGAAAAGTCAAATATAGAGTGGAAGCATTCTTGTATGGAAACTATAGAATATCCCTTGGATTAACCACCTATCTGTAAGTTTGCATGCCTCTAAATAAGAAATCAGCTAAGGTATTAATGAACTCACTGTCTTCAACACAAGGTCTACTAAGGGGGTAATAAATTGCATAGAAATGGTGACCTCAAATAACAATCTTGCACTTGACAACGTGACATCACCAACTTATTCTCTGAAGATAAACTAATTTGCATAAGATAGGCTGAAAACGGAGAATGCATAGCTTCTTACCTTACAGCGGGAGCAAAGCTTCACACCTTGAAATGAAAATTGGCTTATTTTAATCTCTGTCCATAAGTCTTCAGAAAATGGTTCACAACCATCAACAAGGATGCTGTCACAAGCAATTAAACAATGTAATCTAAGTCATAAATAATACAGAAAAGGAGTAAGACAGAGGTAATCAAATTTAGAGTCAGACATGTTTTCTATTGGAAAATTCATTAGAGAAATCTACTAAGATTTGAATCTGAAGCAGTGAATAGATCCTAGAGGCGATTTGTTATATGGCAGCAGCAAGCAGATGAAGCACATCCTTAAAAAACAAAACAAGAGACATTATACGAGCGTGAAAAGAAAATTACTTGGGTCTAAAACGATTAATTGGTACAGGCTCCTTCAGAAGCTTGTTCAGTGCATCCAATGATTCCTGCAAAAATTTGTTCATATAAGATCCAATTTGAGCTTTGTTAATAGTAATAATAATTTTTATTAATATTTATTATTAAAAAAAAAACCCTTAACATCATTTAGCTGACGAACCTGAGATAATAGCATGAATGGGTACTGGTCAGAAAACATTATGCTATGCCCATGAGCATACACAGGATCCACAGGCCTCCTTTCAGATGCTGCATTTATAAAATAATAATGCAACCAAATGATTGGACAAATAAAATTTCTGATTGAAAGCATCTTTATATGCACACTGTGCTAACATGTAATCAGTATCTATATATTTTTTGCCCTTCAAGGCAAATATTTTCATCTCAGTACTGCCTACCAAGAGTATAGTGTTTTCCTCTTTCTTATTTCTGATCAATCAATTGGAATAATTAGTATAGGGGATTTGATCTTTACATCTTTGAGGAGAGGTTTGGCTACCATGAGCTACCCTCCACCCAAATCCTCTTCTTTCCCTTGATATCCCTTATTAGTAAGTGAGCTTCAAAATAAGCAACTCTCCATCCACATGATTTACTTTACCTTAACAAACCCAATCAGTGCACTTTAATGTCCTATGCTGTGAAATATACCAGAATCAAACAAACCTGCATTAAAACGAACTAGCCTACTGGATTTCCCAAGATAATTGGTAAACCATTTTGAAGCCTCATCACCCTCATCCAACGCAGAGCCAGACCACTCCCACACTGAAACACCATCTGCTATTTGTGGTGGTTTACTGAGTGAAACCTTGAGCAAATCCATTCCAGGAGCTTTTATTACTGTTAATGAAAGTGAAATTTGGTCATGACAGAAAATCTAATGAAAAATCAAACGAAAACAATTCACCAGTAATCAGAGAATAGTAAAAGAAAGACACCTTCTTAGCATCCCTGCACTGCTAAGGAGAAGAGACATAACAATTCAAGATAGAACCAAACTAATAAAATGAATCAGCATAGGATGTTAACAATCACAAATAATTAACCACACCTAATATAAGGAAATCAGTTTCCACAAAAGGGTCATCACTGCAATATCCTTTATAAAAGCATGGGAACCACAACTTGACACTTCAATTGGGAAGTCAAAAGAGAATGATGGTTTTTGTTCTAGTTCACAATTTACTCAAAGTTATGAAATTATCTCAGTGGTTTTTTTCTTTAAAAAAAAAAATTGGTCAACTTCCATAGATAATGATTATACCAACTTGCTCACACCAAAACTCCTATAATTAGGGGAAAAATTTTTAGACGGCTTAGATTGTTTGGCCTTGTGCAACATAGGCTTTGAGATGCTTTGTTGCAGACAAGTGATTCAGTTCAAGTAATGAGAAAGGATTCATTATGTTTAGATCTTTCATTGACTATAACACCATCCTGAGCAAAACGGAGAGAAAAGATGCATGTAAGAAACCTCAAATAGTTCAGGATTAAGGTAAGCTTATTTGAGTTGATTTGCCAAAAAAATAGATGAAACCGGTTTTTGAAACATCAAACACAACCAATATTGCTTTGTAAAACAAAATTCTGCTTAAAATCTGCAATATCTAAGTTGTGTTATAGATTAATGAGTCATAAACAAGGATGAGTTGATTTACCCATATATGAGGTCTTAGTAGGTTCCCAACCCTCTAAAAAGGCCTCATTCGGCAGGTCTACCTCGACTAGAGCAAGCTTTGGTTCAACCCTTTGAGTATATGCCCTCCCTTTCTGATTCACAACAAGCCATTGCCGATCCCATCGAAATCCTGTAAATCCATCATCGAAACTACTAAGAATGAAATTACCCTTGCTTGAAGGTAAGACACCAAAAAAAAAAACTGAACAGATTGACAGACTGTTGAGGCCAGTGAACAAGTCCAATCAAGATACCTAGACTGTTTACTTTCAAAGATTGTACAAGTTTTCTTGTAATGTGTATGGAAGTTTTGCTTCCACTCTGAAGGTTGTTGGAAAATGACCAATTTGTAGTCTTGTAAATAAAGTTGAAAGAACTGAAAGGATAGTGAGAAAATGGTGAACAATCCCCAAAATTAGAGAAAAATGATTCATAACAATCACCACTATAGTTCTCCAATACTTCTTAGTTATAAATTCTAATGTCATTTTGTTTAACTTAATGAATCGCACAGATAACTCCGACTCATAGTGGTAAAAAATTGGGTTTAGCACCACAAACAAAAAACAAAAAAAATTAAAATTAAAATTCTTCATGCAAGCGGTAAAGCTGAGCTAATCCCAGGAGTTGCAGAGTAATACGTCAGTTCGTGTCAGTAAATGAAGCGCAGGTTGGAAGCAGGTGTCCAATCTAATTAACAAGGTGGCTAATTATTGATAGTATTTTGCTTTACAAACTCCTTCCAGGGAGAAACTGTTAATAGTATTAGTTTTTTTTTTTTTGGTGGAGGCAAATGCTAAAGAAAAGGCAAGCAAATAAAAGCAATCCCAGCATCTGATGCAGAGAGAACATGCAGATACAAGAAAGAGAAATAAACCCAGGCTTGAACTTGAAGAAATAATTCAAGGATTAAAGTCTGAAGAGACAGAGAAGTGAAGTGGGTGAAAGACAGAAAGGAGTACCAGTAGGAGTGAGGGGTGCATGAGGAACTGAAATTCCACGGCATGATTTTATCGGATAGATAAAAATTGATGATATCTTAGCACCACCGCCACCACCACCACCTCCTTCGGTTGATGACGAAGAAATCTTCTCCATATCTTCTTTTTCTTCTTCTCTCCACAATTTGGACAAAGATAACCTTCGGCCTTCCTCGTCTTCTTCTTCTTTCATAGTCTCTTGGACCGAATACCCAAAAGCACAAAAAACGTGATACTGAATTCCACTTTATAACGCCTAACTCATTTGGATATTTTTGCACCTTGGATTAGAAGAGTGGACCCACCCGAATCCCAGGTGGCCCCCACACGGCCACGTCCTTCTCCTTCCCGCTTTTTTCCGAATGGATCTTTACTGATAAATAATAGATACAGTTTATAATTTGACCCAAAAAAGAAAAACAGTTTTATAAAAGTTTTAATTCTAGTTACAACAAAAAAAATTAAGTAAATTACATAAATAATTTTCTCAATGTATTTTCAAAATGATAAATTATTTCTCTTCATATGAGATATTGTAAATGAAACATTATATTTTTAACATAAAAAGTTATAGTTATTGAAAAGTTACATTAATTAAGAAATTATATTACGTAGTGCGACATAATATGACTATTTGATTATAAATATTTTTTTACTTGAAAAATTATATTTTTTTTTTGATAAAGTGATATTTGAAAAAACACTTCTAAATCTAAAATTATAAAACAATTAAAAAATAACCTTATTCAAAAATTTAAATATAAAAAATTATCTTTTCATATTATAATTTAAAGATTATATTTTATAGTATTACCACTTATCATTTTTGAATTTGTATTTTGTAGCATGCATAGGTATATTGAGATGTAAGGGACACTTAATGAAATGGTTATGTTATTGAAAGATAATATTCAAAAGTCTATATAAGAGACTTACAGGTAATTATTTTTTCGCACTGTATGAATATAAAATAATATTTTCACATGATATTTTTTACTTTTTAACGTTAATATCATATAATTATAAAATGACAAGTAATATTTTAAATACATAAAAATTTATTGCATGCAATAAACAAATAATTATAAAATGACCATTGCCTTTTAATCAAATCTACTACTTAGTGGAAATCCTGTTAGCAATCAATATTCTTTCCCAACCGTTTACTGTAATAAGACCAATGAGGAAGATCAGATGAAACTATATATCCAGTTAATCGATTTATGCTTCCATTACCGCTTCTTAATAGTCAGCTATCCAAGTATGACTAAAGATATAGACAGATAAGATGGGGTGAACAAAAAGAAACAGAAAAATGGATACCTTATCTTTTGGATATATTGACTTAATAATTTCTGCATTCACAAAATTTCCCAACTGCTCATCATTCTTTTTAAATTAGCATTTTATTGGCTTTTTGACATTGGCTATTGAACAAAACTGTCTACGATCCTATGAAGTCGAAATTCATTTAAAACAATATTCGCTCTTGATAGATGTCCAATGCCTGGATGACCTTCTCCATGAACAATTTCCGGTGCAGTCTGCACCTGCATATGTAAGAATAAGAGTGACTTCAACTGAGTCTGTACTTAAGAATTAAAACCTGAATGCATGAGAAGAAGTATGTTATGTCAAAATCACATACTTAATTGCAGTTCCAAGCGTCCTCCTTGCTTCCGGCATAGAATCTGTTGGTAGAAAATTAAGGGGTGAAGAAGACAGCATCATATATCCATAAAACACCTCAAATAAAATTAGCCATGTTCAAGATGATCATGCATTATTTTAAAGTTAAAACACTTTTTATGCTTATAGAGGCCATTTCAAGCCCCAGCCTCTGCAACAAGTTTTCTCTAATTTCAACAACCATATAAATCCTCAGAGCTAGTGCTAACTGGCATGAACATAATACCTAAAAATGAAAGGCGGAGGATTTAGAGCTTTTTTGAACTAATAATTCCGATTTCAAATTTAAAGTACTGCAATTTTGATAGGAATTAAATTTTAGCAGACGAAAAGCAGCAGATCTTAAAATTCTAACGGTAATAAACTATTAGCTGAAGTTTTCATATTGCCAGCTTAAACCGCACTTTAACCATGAAAACTTGAACGCATTATTTTTCAAGGAATTAAAATTCTGCAAGTTTTCAGAGAACAGGCCAACTGGTCAAAATCTGTCAGAACCCTTTATTAGGGTTATGAGCATTCTAATATGGATCAAGCATAACGGCTGTTAATTCCACCCATTTAAGATAGAAATATGTTCACCTAGAAACTTCTGGTCTTGCTCAGAAGTTGTAGGAAACTGTGCAAGCATCTGCCGACATTCTTCCTGTAACTCCTTCACAGCTTTCCTTTCTATGCTAGGGATTGGAGGAACATCACCATCTGACCATGTGGGCAATGTTCGTGCGGCGGCTATGACTGCCCCATCGACAAAATTATCTCCATTATCTGCTAACTGACCTGATAAAAATTTGTAACGCTTAAGGTGCTGAATTATGCATATAAAACTACCATTCTATTTCAAAAAGTTCCAAAAAGTTAAAATGACACATACTGTTATGATAATACTCTTCAGGAAGACCAGATATATTGAAGACTGACAAGAAAGAATCCAAGTGAATATGTGCATTTCCAGAGAATGGTATTAAATCCCAAGGGTTCTGCCATGGTCAAGCCACATGAGTTAATTTTTTGCAAAACTGACTTATAGATACAATTACAAGATGAATAATAACATTTTCACAAAGAAAACATGGTTTTATTTCAAAATTTTATTTGCGAGGATGTCAGATTTTTTCCTGATTCCATTAAATCAGGTTAATATGAAACAGCTTTACATATTCAGATTGAAAATTAAAGATTGGAGCTAATTACCACAGCTGAAGAGAAGCCATATCGTTGCATGAGCATATGATTCTGCTGTCCATTCAGATAATTGATTGTCATCTGCCAAAATTTATGGAATTGCGGATACAAACCCCAAAATGTAAAACAAAGCATCGTTAGGACCAAATTCGGTTGATGGTTTTAAAAGGTATATAGCAATGACAACAAGAAGAAGGCATATTTTGGCCCAAAGAAGGGTACTAAATCTGAGTAAATCATAATTTCAAGCAAAATTCACAGAAGCTCCAATAGCCACAAGAGACTCCAACACATTTGATTAGATTTTACATGGTGCTTAACATAATCGGATTTTTAATTTTAAATCTATAGAGAAGAAAGTCTAGGATATTTGAGACAGACTGATATTGACAATGGCCGATTAACCATAGAGAAGAGAGAAATGTGAAAAATCCTAAAAAGATAACGACCAATTATTCACCTAAAAGTTGCAAATTTCATTGAGCATAAACTTGGATGAATTGAGCTAGTACTGGTAAAAGACTCCACTGGGTTCTGCACAGGTGTGTTCAGGTTTCTGGGAAAAAACTACCAATAATGGTGGTTGGACCTCCCTTGTTGGTGAAGAATTCCCCTTAGACCAAGACCATTCACTCCAATAATTGAACAAAATTAGAATTCAAAAGAGAACATGGAATAACAATACCTCGTCTCCTTTTTTAATCCTCTGTCCAGCATTTATCATCACCTCAACCATGCGATCCTTAAAACGCCAGTGGAGAAAACAATTTGGCTGAAATGAATGATTTAGCATATCTGCCAGGACAAATAAATACATGAAAAGCATATTAAGATATAAGACAGCTCAGATAAATAATAATTTAAAGGAAACATGAAGGCAGTCAAAGTTTAGAAAAGGCAGGGAGGTATTAACTGATGCGAAATAGGCCAAAGACATTTTGGACAAAGAAGAGGACAATAAATGAAGGAATACTGGTTTACAGAATGCTCTGTAAGAAAAAAAAAGGACAAGTAAAATCTTATCAAGCCCTGCGTTAGTTTGTGATAGACCATTACAGACCAGAAATACATTGACAAGATCACAAGGAGCCTCATGTAGCAAGATTACCAGCATAAGGAATTAGCATATTTGCATCTTGAACTAGTGCACCAATCCTAACTTGCATGTTAATGCACCGAGACTGTGCAATGCTAACAGCCCAAATGAATCTCTCAGCATCACGAGCAAGGCGCTTTATTTTCAGGGGAACTCCAGAATGCTGAGTGAGGTTAAGCACACAAACAATTTATCATTAAAGTGAGCAAGAACTTCTTGAAACATATGAGAGGTTGGTGCGAGGGAAAATTCTTAGTTCTATATATGATAGACAGGTAGCTTATACCCAGTTCTTTTCCCAAAATTCTAATGCTCTTTGTTGTTTGTTTCTCATAGTTGAAGCAAGACCAGGATCCTGAAGTTCTGAGAGGTCATCCTGCATGAATCAAACAAGTTGTGAGTACAGCCAGTTGCTTCCTAATATGTGACTCTTACAATCATGAAAAGCAAGACTAACAAACAGTTTGCCCAAAATTAAAGTTCTCCACAACTTTATGAATTGTATGTGTGTGTGTGTGCATATATTTGACATTCAACAATTGAAATCCTTTGCCATTGAACAACCATATCCAATGCTTCTATGCCCTCATTAAATTATATCTCCCTCCCCCATCATTTTATTGAAGACCAAAAATGTAATTTAGCCAAAAAATTGAATGGAGAACTCAACATGAAGTAAAAGCAAGAAAATAAACATTGAAATGATTTTTGCCTCTCATCTTCCAACTTTTCACACCTCTGTAGCAAGAAGCAAGCTAGTGCACTCATCTGCACTAGGTAAGAAGTCACCATATAGTTGCCAAAAGTTATCATCCCTATCAAATGCATACAAAAGAAGGCATGCCAATCTCAGATCCCAATCTGTCTGCCAAGAGAAATACCCATAAATTACAGTGAAAGAACAAAACGATTAGTGTTATTGTAAAAGTTTTAAGTAGTGTGCTAGTGCATTCACCAAATTGAATAAGGAATGCATAAATCTTCTAGGATAAATAAGTGTTCGAAATCTAGGAAAATTTCGGTTACCTCAGGATTGGTTGAGTTTATGATATCAAATATGGGATGACCTATTGGCACTACATCGGGGAAAAACATCCATGGCTGCTTCTGCCTTATTGTCAACATCAATTCTAAAGGTATTTCCATGATAACCTGTTCAGTCAAGTGCAGAAGCTTAGTTACCAAACACATAAATATCATTCTGGAATAGTATAACTAGTAGAAAATAGTATGCCATTCTTTAGGAAGCAAATACAAAATAAAAAATAGAAGAAATTGGTGATGCAGGCAGGAAGTGATGAGTATGAGACTGGAAAGAAGTTAATTTGATATATCTAAATGGGAAGAATGAGTGAGAGATAATGAGGTACAAGGTAGAAACAGACTCTGGCACGACGAAGAGGCTCAACATCTTTGGAGGCATAGACTCCAAAACCGTCAGGTCCTTCCTTAAACTCTATTCCATAAGCTCTCATGCTTCGAACATAACCAATCTTGTAGAAATCAGGGTCGGCAGGCTCCAGCTATGAGGAAAACGGCAAAGGTAGCAAAGGAGGGGAAGGTGTCAAAAACTCAAAAGCAAAAGTAAAAAAGGAACAGAAGTACTGAATAGACAAGCCAATGAGCATTTACCTGAGAGGGAGATTGCTGAAGTGGGGGAGGCTGAAAGAGTGGAAAAGGAGTTTCCACTGAAGCATTAATGGGTCTGAAAGGATACCTGGCTCTTGGTGGGGGTGACCACCCACGACCATGATGATATTCCCTTTCCCGGCGGGGATAGCTGAAGCACCCACCGACGTTATGAAGGGGAACGGATGAGGCTGCCATTGGACTTTAGAATTCAAAATGAAACCATGGCTGGCAGACTGGCTGTGGATTATTGACGTTTTCTTGTTAGGAAAATAGACTCCAGTCCAGTCTAAACTCAAAAAGCATACTACACTATCACCAGTGCCGGTTGTAAACATTACAAAAACGTTATCCGCTCGCAGCCAGAGACAAGAGTGCTGCACAGCCGGCATTCCGGCCCAGCCCATCTTTGCTAGTCTCGCTCATCTATGAGGCTATGACCCTCTCTAAACTACGTTGCCTATGCTAATTTTTTTACTTATTATTTCAACCTCAAGTTCAAATATTTACGTTGAAATTAATATGCTGATAACAATTTCAATACAAATTTAGTATGTAATAATATCTTCTAAATAATTAAATAACAACAAAATATATTTGAAACTTATCATAAATAGTATTAGAATCTAATGCTTATATCTTTATGCAAAGCATAGGAAAAACAAAGTAGATGCAATGTGAGCATCTCAAAACAAGAGCCTACTTTTATTAAGCTACACCAGAAAAGAGGGAAAAAAAAAGGGCAAGTTAAGTAAAAGTCGGAAAGAAAAGAAAAGAAACTAGTAACATGGCCCATAAGGGAGAAATTACTATGGGAGTTGGATGCTAATGGGCTAATGATGAGCTTTGGTCATGGTCCATGACGATTGCACTCATTTCCTCTTAATCATGTCACTCGTTTTCAAGAGCTAGACTAGATGTAGATCTTGCATATGAGCTGCAATGTGTCATCAACACTGCAAAGAAGTTTGTGCAGGGCACTTTTACAATCCAGAAAACTCCTTGAAATTTAGGTAGAAACCTACCAGAAACGAAACGCGGGTCTGACTTGTAGTTGTAAAAGATGAAAAACCTTCTCGCTTAAGTTACCTTAAGTGATCCTGGGGTATTTACAACTATAAATTCACAAGCTCTTCCTATTCGCTACATCACACTATCTGAAAGAGAAGCAGCATAGGAGAATATTGAAAGAAAAAGATGCATAATCCTCACCACCAGACCCCCACCTCCCACCCCACCATCCCCACCCACCCACCACCCCATGCTCCCCTCCAGGTCCACCGCATGCGAACCTCCTCGTCCTCATGCCCCCTCCTGGCCAGGTCCAAACCGCTCCACCAGGTCCTGCTGAGCCACACAAACCGCGTCCATAATCCCTCCACTGCTAATCATACTTGCTCAAGGTATATGTAAAATTATGTAGCCAGCGGTGCGTAGTATTAAAGAGTTTGTGCTACTTCACTGATGTGCTCTTTTAACCACTTGGTGTTTAGTGTCCTATTTTCTGATCTTATTTTTACTTAAGTGGCAAGTAAATATGATGTAATAAAAAAGTAATACTACTACAGTCATAAATATTGCTCTATGTTGTTTACGATATCGGCATGTTTATGTTTGCTTTGTTATGATCATGTTCTATATATGAACTATGATGTTTCATTGCTTTTAATTGGTAATTTTGGTCTTCTTTGACAATCCTTTTAATTTAGGGCTGAATATTATTCCATTTTGGTCTGTGCAAATGCTCAATTATTTGAGCAAAAGGCATGGCAGGTAAGTCAAATATGCCTCACCGACCACGTACCTACTCCTCCAACTTTAATAAGCTATAATTAACTTTAATCCCACATTTGGCAATACTCGAACTTATATTGATAAGCTACAATAGCACAATACATGACACTGAAGCTCCGCTTTATGTGAATTCATCAAGAGAGTCACGTGGGTACCTATTTAATATTGATATCTCAGTGTCATGAATTTATACATTAAGACAACAATGTCACAATTTTTTTTTAATTAGCCAACACGTTTACTTGATTTGATATCATATGGAATATAACACTTGGCCAAAACAAAATCACGTGGTAATTAATTTGGAGGGATTCAATCTCATATACAAGAGCGGTTTTTGGGCTAAGCGGCTTCTTCAGGCTTGCAAGGCTACGACTTCATGAATACTTGTTCTAGAAGCATTGTATTGGCTTGTGTTTAGTGGGCAAAAAAAGATCTAGACAAACATTTTGGGCTGGCATTAAAGACTCAGATTCAGCTTAATATATATGAAGGATTAATTATTTTCAATGGAAGGACTGAATATATTCTTAATAAAATTTTAGAGATGAAAATCATTTTGAGGAAGAAATTAAGAAAGATAAGGTTCTTGGCCTCATCATGTCAATGGAGAATAACAACCACATACCAATGGAAATATCCCAACAAATGGACACGTCAACAACGTGAAACGTATGCATTAAAGTACCTCCGAGTAAACTTCTGATGATCATAACCTTATCTGCAAGTCTGGGACCATTCTGGCCAAAAAATAATGAAAACAAGGACCACGGTACTATAAATCCAATAGTCCTCTCAAACCGCTTCACCGCACCAGCAAGAAGCTAAGAAGAGAACGATACCAGCTACAACAGCAGACAAGATGCACGATCAGCATCAGGCTCCGCCTCCTCCCTGTCCCCAAGGACCTCCACCAGGCCATGATGGACATCCAGTAGGTGGCCCGGGCGACCACCACGGACCTCCAGCAGGTGGTCCGGGTCAGCATGGACCTCCTCCAGGTGGTCCGGGTCAACATGGACCTCCTGCAGGCGGTCCTGGTCATGGTTGTGGCCCGGAGGGAGGCCATGGACCTCCAGCAGGTGGTCCAGGTCATGGTTGTGGCCCGGAGGGCGGCCATGGACCTCCAGCAGGTGGTCCGGGTCACCATGGACCTCCAGCAGGCGGTCCTGGTCACCATGGTGGTGGCTCGCATGGCGGCCATGGCGGGCGTTGCTAAGCATGCACAAATGCTATAGTTTTACTAAAATAAAATGTTAGTTTGCTATATCATGCATGCTTTGTGATAGTGAAAAGTGAAAATCCTGATCTTAATTTGTACCGGGTTTTATGCTATGTTAATCAAATAAACGTTTATGGAGTAATACCATATATGTACAAGATTTGCTCTGCTTATATTCCATAACATTTTCTTTTCCATTTTGCTTCAATATATCTGATAAAATTAAGAAAGCATGTTACAAATTAATTAGAGCTTCTTAATTTAACCTTATAACGCCTCCAAACATGGGAGGTTTTTCATGAGTCAAAATTCCATCGGTTGCACTTGTGTCTGATACAGGCCCAGGGAGTTTAAGAAGCAAAATATTAGAAAGTGTTTTACAAAGTATGTGATATCAACATTTACCATCTATAAAATTAAAAGTAAAGGATTGCAATTAAATAGAAACGAAGTCATAACTTTCAATCTTTGATCAGATTATTCATTTAATTGAGATTTCAGGCCCCGTTCCCTCAACCAATTCTCCTCTTCTGAAGTGTCAAAACTATATTTATCCGTTCAGCACAATGCATTCTTCTCTTATCCATTCAACATGTGAAATTTTCGGGCTCTATTGATATCTAATTATAGCCATGCACATTTCGATATCATAAAAATTACAAGTTGAATCTTGACATCTGTGGATACCTAAATAAAGGAAAATAAAGAAGAGAATTATTTCTCTTGTTTTAATCACTAACCCATAAATTTAAGTAAACGAACCAAATGGTTTGTCATTTTTCTTTTCATTTTCTGGAAGTATTCAAATAAATTCTTGTCCAATGCCAACATATTTTTTATTATATTCAAAATTTTTGTTCAAATTTTATAAAATTTCATAAAAAAATCTTTGCAAAATATATTCCAACTCTTTTGTATATTAATTCAAATGAAACTTTCCATCAAAAATTGTTCGGAAATATAGTTATCTGAAAGTTTTTTAATCATTTAAATTAATTTGCTGTCAAATGTATTTTAACAGATTTCTAATGAAATCAATCCCGTTAACAATGTGAACAAATTTGTATATCAGATGCTACACATTAAGATTTAGAAGGAATGATAATGTTGATAGGAACCTAAATTGTTTCTTGTATTGCAATTCAGCTCGTGTATTGCATGTTGTTTTTAGCAAGTGTGTCCCATGCGGGAGAAAAAGCCAAAAGCTTCAGCTTATCTTGTCAGGCATGTGGACCATTCAGGATCACGTTAAACTCGAGCAACAAGGCGGACGGTGATGAAACATCTACAGGGAGAAGATGATAAGAATTGAGAAAGATGGGCTTATCCTTTCCCATTAAAAAAATTACAAAAATTCTCTTTGGCCTTAAATCAATGGGGAGTCATCACCATAAACATACATTAGAAACCAACTAATCAAACAAATAAATATCTTAAATAAAAAAAACCAGAACGTTATTAGTTTTTGCCTTTTCATCTATATATATTCGCGGTAGCTATACCAGCGTGAACAATATATGTTGGTTAGTTCTCTCGAACGGTTTGCTGCACATCAAAGTATAAGAAGGGACGAGAAAGAGCTAAAGTAGAAGATATGCACCATCCTCCACATCACCCACGCCCGGGGCCCCCACATGGACCGCACCATCCACACTCAGGGCCGCCGCCGCCGTACGCACCACCGTTTGGGCCTCATCCACACCATGGTCCTCCTCCTCAACTTCCCCATGGCCCACCACCTCCTGGCCCGAATTGCTGCTGTGTGATAATGTGATTAAGCTTTTTGCAGTTCATGTGATGTAATCACAGAAGAAGAATATGTATATTCAGCTCAACTTTCATTTGTCACTTGTGATGGTACTTTGTTTTATATCTCTGAAATTAGATTTGTTTTTCCTTTGACATAATTGTTAGTATTTGGTTAATTATTAATATTTAAAATCTGTATAGATAAGAATGTAAGTGAATCAATACACTAGACAGATGTCTAAAGCTTGTTTAGAAGTGTAGTTGGAAATTGAGCACTGTAAACCTAAATATCCTTTCTCCCATTTGCAACATCGCCATGCTATTCTGATTTATGAATTTCTCTCCTTACCCAAAGCTGCTCTCCTTCCTTTCTTTCATTTTCTCTTTTTGCTCCTTAATGCTCACCATAATCCCTTTCAATTTTCATTGACCTTTCGTTCTTAATTTATAATAATTAAGCTTGGACCTACCCCTCTCAAAAGCATTCCGTTTGTCCTCTGCCCTCTCTCATAGACGAGGCCTGGAAGAAATTGAAGACCGTATATGAGATGGAGTGACAAAGTGCTTGCCTCAGAAGCAGCACTTGTGATACAAGATTGTCACTTTCTCTCTCTTACCTCCATGGGTTAGGTTCATATCATAGAATTTTTAAAGACATGGGTAAATTTGCCTATGGTTGTTGGCTTCATGTTGTTATACGCAGTGAACTGAAACTACCATTATGATATGCCACTACCCCTTCCAATTGCTCTAATATCATATGTGTGCAAGCCTTTTTTACAACTCTAATCTCATATGTTGTTTTGCCCAAAGTTGGCTAATATGTTGTCAAAGCAGGCTTTCTTTTACACTATTATTTTTCATTTTATAGCTTTTTTTATGATGCACTTATAGGAACAGGAACAGGAACGTGAATGTCAAGCGACTGCTGCAACTAATCCTGATGTAGGGGGCAATGCTCAGAGCAGAGATTGCAAAGGCTGTGGAAACAATGTTGGTGCGGCTAATCGTCCTGGAAACAATACTGATGTAACTAATCCAAAGGGCAATGTTGCTGCTCAAGGCAATGCTCAGCGCAGAGGTAGTGGAAACAAGCTGGTGTGGCTAATCCTTTTGGAAACAATGCTAGTGCGATTAATCCAAGGGGTAATGTTGCTACTCGGGGTAACAATAATAATTAAGCTCGACGCAATGCTCAACGCAGAGGTCGTGGAAAGTATTAAAGGAGGCATTAACATTGCCATTTCAATATCAACAGACTAAAGCATTCAAAGAATAACATTTATGTTTTAATGCTGGCACTATACAATATTGAAAAACTATTTTTGAAAAATAACAAGAATATTCCTTTCCTTGGTTATTTTAATACAATCCACATGCCTCAATCAACAAAGCATTGAAACGGAAATTGAGGCAACAGTTATAGCTGGTTAAGTCACTATTTAATCAGTTGGAATTTTCACAAGCTATAGTTCACAATGACCATAAGTTCTATCAAGAGTATTTTTTGGGTTACTCCCGTATTTTACAAACATGCCATAATCACTATCCAAAGAAATTTTGGTAAAAAAATTACCGACCTGTTTCAAGTTCTCTTGAACTCTCATCACAAGTTGGGCTAATGAGTGTGAATCAAAAACATAACCATTCTCCTTTAATATATACCTAGTCTGGGGTTTACTAGTTGAAAACATTCTACACGAAACCGTGTTGCAGGAGGAGGATTTTGGAGTAAACAAGTTGTTGAAGATTGAGAATGGATCTCCACTACTTGCATCAGCATAGTCCACACTACTGAAGACTCTCTAGTACCTCTCTATTGTAAAAGAAGCCTTATCAGAGCTTGTCAAAAGAGACCAATCACTTGATGCAGCATCAGAGAACTCCATATTGATGGGTTCAGCATACATCCCTATCACAGGGTGAATGTTTCAATTTGCACTCCACCTAGGAATGCCATTAGAGTTGTTGATATAGCCTGTAGCCATTTCAGGCCTAAAAATCTGAAAAATGCTTAGGGCCAACAGAATGGCCATTAAATCTACTTTATGCTGGTCGTGACAGCTTCTCAGTTTTTGAGGTAGCCATTTCAGCCCTCGCTTTTGTATGCTCTTTTAAGTGAATGCTCTTCGAGGGCAAGGGCTTGACCTCATATAAAGCAATAGAATGATTTACCTTGAAGCGGAACTAACATCCAAGCGAGTGAGCCTAGAGTAAAACGAAATTCATTATTAGAAGCAGCTCAAAACTTTATTACTTTCATTTTCCTAAAACCAACATCCAAGTAATGGAAATTTAAAGGTATGTGAAAAAAGGTATGCCAATCACAGGGCAACAAAGCATTAGAAAGGCCTTGTTTGGTTCCTGAATAAATTAAAGATAAAGAAAGATGAAATCCATGCTCTCGTTTGGTAATGCAAGGATGTAAAATATAAAAATTTTTTGTTTACTCTTTTAGGTGGAAACACAAACAAATATTCTAGATAAATATGTACATTTAGATACAAAAGAAAATAATAATTTTGAGAAAATTATAGATAAAATATGTAAATTTTTTTAAATAATGAAACGTATTATTCTACTTTAATATAAACTAACTATGTTACATTGGTATTTATATTTTAATTGTTTATCCATATTTAGTATATTATTTTTTTTATTTTTTGAATTTGTTTTATAATAACCTTTCACGACAAAACAAAAAAACCTAATCAATTGACAAACCATGAATTCCCCCAAAAAAGAGATCTGAAGACCCAAATTTTGATGGCCCAGCTTGATAAGATGGCCCAAACTCATCCCTTATGAGAAGCGAACTTATTAGCCAGGGTTAGGGTTTCTCATAGCAAAGCTCTCTCATTTTTGTTTCCCTTTGCCCGCAGCCGCGACACACACCCTCCAGAGAGCTCATCAACCATGGCAGAACAGGTTCACATTCAGATCCCATGCTCTTTCATTCTTCCCCCTCTCCCTCTCTCTATGCTTGGCTTCTTATTTTCTGGTTTTTCTTTTGTTTGCAGACCGAGAAGGCATTTTTGAAGCAACCCAAAGTGTTTTTATGGTAATCTTAAAACTCAAAAACCGTAAAATTTTTCGACTTTTTACATTTTCCGAGTTGGGTTCTTTTATTTTTGATGGGTTTAATTGATTTTGTATTGTTTTCAGCTCGAAGAAATCTGGGAAAGGGAAGAGACCAGGAAAGGGAGGGAACCGCTTCTGGAAGAGCATTGGTTTGAGCTTCAAGACTCCTCGTGAAGCTATTGAAGGTTTGTTGTCATTTTAGTTTCCTTTTTTATATTTTATTTCAATTATTGTATATATTTTAGGTGGTATGGATGCTTAGTTTATGTAAAATTTTAGATAAGTTATGAGTGTCACTTAGATACTTGCATTTAGTAAGCTGAGTAAACATTTGTTTGTTGTTAGCTGGAAAAGGCAATATCGTTCTAAATAGTAATTGCTTTATTTCTATATTGCCATACCTTTGAAATTTCAGAAAATGGATCCTTTATAATGCTAATATACTGATGCGTGATATGTAGTACTTTATAAGAAAGAAATGATGATTTACTACTTGGCTTAATTAACATGAAGAGTCTGATATTTGGAAGGGATATAGAGAATATGTTTCTTTCTGTTTACAGTTCTGTTCGTATCGAGATTATGATTGCTGGTTGTTAATTTTTTTTTCTGTATTTGTTTCCTGAAGGAACCTACATTGATAAGAAATGCCCATTCACTGGCACTGTTTCCATCAGGGGTCGTATCTTAGCTGGTACTTGTCATAGTGCCAAGATGATGAGGACAATCATTGTTCGGCGGAATTACCTTCATTATATCAAGAAATACCAAAGGCATGATACAGCTTCATTTTTTATGGACTTTTCTCATGAGAATAGTTATTTTTTGAAGTTTTTTTGATAAATTCCTTTTTTTCAGGTATGAGAAGAGGCATTCAAACATTCCTGCACATATTTCTCCATGCTTCCGTGTGAAGGAAGGGGATCATGTCATTATTGGGCAATGCAGGTAAACGTTCTGAAACAGAAGGATGTTTTTAAATGTCTATGAATCTAATCATTTTTACACATAGGGGTGGGCAATTTTGGCTGTTTGTAATTCATGTCTAATATTTTTTAATTCCAGGCCATTGTCAAAGACTGTGAGGTTCAATGTTTTGAAAGTGATTCCTGCTGGATCTTCTGGTGGTGGGAAGAAAGCTTTCACTGGAATATAAGGTGTGAGTGTGTTCTGTGGTATCTTTGGTGTAGGAATCTATGGAGAAGATATTAAGAAGTTGTTGAACTGCCTCTAGATTTGAAGGACTTTGACTCTTAGATGTTTTTTGTTATTGTTTTTCTTTCCTTTCACTTTTATGTTTGGATTTTGTTAAATTACGACATTTAGAATTTTGAAGATATCCTTTATTATATATGGTTCTCAAATAGGCCTGGAATTTTTGTTGCATTAGTATGAGCATGCTTTCCAATTGGAATTTTTGATTCATTAGTATGAACTTGCTTTCGAAGAATATTTCCATCACTTTGTTTAAGATTGTGGATCAAGTTTCTGGTGTTGTGATTTCTCAATCCAGTTCAAGACAGTTAACCTGTCTGGACATTAATGTGGAGGCATCTATTACGCAGCCCTTATTCATAGACACTTCATTCGGCTAAGTAGTGATTTTAATCCCGCTTTCTGCCATTCTGCTACAAATCGGAAGTTACTTTCAATGTTGCGTTGGGGGACTGAGGATTCTAGTTGTAGTCACTCATTTTCAGTTTTCAGTCTTACTGTGCTGCAGCTGTCTTCATATGTTTTGTTCATTGCCAAATGGAGAGAAAAGCCACCTGTAGTCGGTATTATTGTCCATGGTTGTTACTGATGGTTTGTCTTTTTATATTATAGTAAAATAATTAGCAAATCATGACCTTCACCACTGTTACACTGGCTGCCTGCATGTTCACTAGGAACTCACCAAATCAATTCATCAATGCATAACATCCCAATGTTATCATAGCATCCGCTGTCCAAATAATTAATGCAGGTTTGGAGAGCTCAAGGGAGGCCGCGGAAGTAAAAGGGAATGTGAAAATAGAAAAACTTTGGATGGGAAATCATTTTGGAGTAGAGGATTTTTAATGATTTCTCATTTTGAAGGCTTTTGGGACTTGAGTTTAGTTAAGCAAGTAGGCTGATGCTTTTGGGTCAAGTGGGATTGGCTAACTATTACAGTAGATGGGCTTTTTGATGGACAGATTGGGCTAAATTATGTCTTCGAATCCTAAATCAATTGAATCCTAAATGCAATGAGCAAAAATTTTGATACAGGTCGATGAACAATATACCGTTGCAGGTTGCAGGACGCAAGATAATCCCCTTGGTCGACCTCCTCCACCATCCCTTTTATTGCCATCCCTTTCCTAAGGATTGAATAGCATTGAGGTAAGAAATGGGAAAATATGTTTCGTTAAAAATAATAAGAAAATATATTTTATAAAGTCATTCAAGTAACAGAAAATATTTTTTTATTTATTTAAATAAAAACATTAAATTTGCTAATAAAATAATTTTCACAAAAAAGTTCCTTTCCAAGATAAGTTAATTCGATAATGGATCAGATTCTTTTATGTTTTTGTTTTCAATTTTCGAACATATAAACATTGAGTATAATCCATATATATTTCTGATAAAAATAGTTAATATATATTCCAAGTTTATAGATTTGTATTTATATAGCAAAATATATGAAACGCATTGATACTGATACGTTTCGTTTTCTATAAGAAAACTGAAATGCTCACCAGTAGGCAGAATGGCATTGATATTCTTGTTTTTGTCTATATAATACTCCATAGCAAAGAAATAGATTTTCCATTGGATTAAGGTTTAAGGACAGTCCAAAAGGAAAATACGATTAGGGAGAATTTCAAAGGAATAATAATAATAATAATTGATAATTTTGCCAATGGAATTCGCAACCCCAACACGCAACAGGCGCAGTACTGTTGGACAACATCATGCCACGTACCAATGCAACAAAAACAGATTCCTTGGCATTTTCAAACCATTATAGACTTTTGGTCTTGTCCGAAACAATCATTAACTACCTAATGAGCCAATGGAATTAGAAATGGACTTGGTCTCTGTCCACTCCACGCCTGCTTTTCTTATTCCGGGGTAGCTCAGACATGGTAAGGTCAATTACAATAATACCCAAGAATTAGTACATGCTTGTCAAAGATAAAGACTATATTCCAGTCAATGACGTTTGCAACTTCATCTTGCCAGCAATTTTGATCAACACATTACATCTTGACTTAATGGCTACTTTTTGCTTTTCTTGAAACTTATCTCTCGTTGCCTACTTTCAAGGCATTTAACGTATCTTCAAGAAGAATTAAGGCTTTATTTTCAATATTGATTTGATAATAACATGCATGAAGGTGACACACGCCCTTTATCTCCCCTATTAAGAAAGTTTATCAAATTTTCAGTTTTGCTTTTTTCTTTCTTACTTGATAAGAAATATTGGTAGATTGATTTTAAGGTTTTCACTAAATCCATTTTAAAGTTTGACAAATCGATTTAAGGGTTTGTCAAATTGATTCTAGGGTATGCAAGATTGTAGGATTTTGTAGACCGATTCTAGAGTTTTCACTAAAACAATTAAAGGGTTTATTAGATCGATTTTAAAGTTTGAAGATTGATTTTAAAGTCTGACATATTGATTTACGAGTTTATTAGATTGATTTTGGGGTTTAGGTAGATCAGTTGAATACCGATCCAAGGTTTTATTTGGATCGATTTTAGGGTTTGACATATTGATTTAAGAATTTGTTAGCTTGGTTTTAGGATTTACAGGATTTTAACAAACTAGTTCAAGAGTATTAAGCTGATTTTAGGGTTTATTTGATACCGAAGTTTATCAGACTAATTTTAAGATTTATTTGGATCGATTCGAGGGACCGCTTCTAGAGTTTCTAAAAGTAAAACCACCCAATGCAATGCAACAATGTAATGCTATAAAGACAAATCCACGCAAAAACAATACTACCAAGACAAACTGAGAAGAGCAAACACAAGACAAATCCACGCAAGTGGAATTCTTCGACTTAGAAACCTGTCGTACAAGCTCATATGGCTAATCTCTTTCTTTTTTTTAAAAAAATTTTCTTGTAGTTTTGAAATTTTCGAATGTGTTCCAAGCTATATTTCGAATGTGTTCGAAGTCATTAGAACACTAATGACCCCCAACTCCGTTTTTTTATTTTTTTTGATTTTGACATGATTGGTTCCAAAATATTTAAGAAAAAAAATGCTAATCCATTGTTGCTTTACCTTAAATAATATATTTTATTATCTTTTACTTTAATTTTAGCAATATAAACATTTGGATTTATTTTGAAGTATTTAAAATAATATCATGGTATAGGATTATGTAATAAGTTCTTTTTTACCTTTTCCCTTATATAAAAAATATATTCTTTTCTATTCTAACTCAATTGTTTCCTTAATAGAAACGAAATTCCTAATCATGATAAATTATTATGTCTCTATCCCAATTATGTCTATCCCAATCAATGTGCATATGTCAAAAATGAAAAAAAAAATAAAAAAATACCCATTAAATTTAATTATGAGTTTCTATTCATCTTTTTGGTGCCTTTGTTATGGGCGGTGCTGGCGTAACTCAACTTTGCCTCCAAATCAATTGTGCTAAAGCTAAGTGCTTTTTGACAAGTATCTTGACGCTTGAAATTGTTCCTTTTTCTCAAATATTGTGACGTAAGATTCAAAACAATTTGTAAATAGATTTAAGTTAAACTCGTCTATATTTATTTAAACAAATTCAGAGAATTTATTTAATAAATCATATAATTGGGAATTGACTGACCACCCTAAACCTAAATATCCACGATGCTGATTTATTTAATTTTATGGATTTATTTTATTTAATTAAATAAAAGTAAAATTTAATTAAATTTTTATATCATCGACAGTAAGATTCTTCACATATAAATTACAAAAAAGACAAGCATGATGGTCTAAGAAAAGAAATAACTTTATGGTTAGTGACTGACAATTAGTGCAAAGGCAACAATCTCCAAGCCAATGTTGAATCTTTGAGCATATGTACAGGGAAGATATTTTATGACTACCTTTCTGGAAAGCAAAAGAGAAATCTTATGTCATTTTCTTTACATCATCTTCCTCCCCCCCCACTATTCCTTGTCTTGTAATTCACACTGGGGATACTATTGCCTAAACCTTCACTTTCAAATCTTTTTAGCACAATTATTACCACTAAAATAAAACAAACCACCATGATTTAACACATCACTAGTTTATCACAAATCATTCATTTATAGAAAAAAAAAAAAGGAAACCAGTTAGATTTGTCCCTATTGTAAATGCACTCACATTACCCCTACAATTCCAATCCCACCAATGCATGGTCTTTTCAGACACCATCTTCTGTTAAAATTCCAGATCAGGAAAGATAAGAGATACTTCAAACCAAAATTTGAAGATAAATGGACATGACAGGTTCTATTTAAATTTTCAGGAAACTAGTCCAAACTTCCTAACTTTTAGGTAATTAACACAATAATATATATATATATATATAATTTATACAAAATTTAGAGCAGGAAATAAAACAAGACCCCTTTTTTTTTGGGTGATAATCAAGGCCCATTTAGGACTTGAGTAGTCTCTAATAGTCAACAAAGGTTAAGCAGCATAAGGTTCACATTTACGTTAAAATAATCAATAAAAAAAAATTGTGGACCTTTGGTCTTTTGTCTCACATTTAGGTAGCTAGCCTTAGGGGGTTAGAAAATTACAAATTTAGGTTCAAACTACCCACGCTTAGACTTACCAATTTATATAATAAAACAAAACAAATAAAAAACCTTAATAATATTATAACATCTAGGGGGATAGGTATAATTAAATTATGATTAAAATGATTAATTGTTAATTAGAACTTAGAAGAATGTTTTCTTTTCAACAGTGGGAAAATTGGGTTTTGAGAGAATAAAAACATGCAAATCTGTATATTATTTGCATTTGCTGCTCAAATTTCATAGCTACCAATGAGAAGAAATATATATATATATAGATTTTTCCTTGAACTTTTCCTTTCACCTTTCATTTCTTTCCTAGCAAACACAGTGTAAGTTTACAGAAGCTTCATGCAAAGCAATTAAAAGATTTTTTCCATTATACGTTGAAGACTGAAGTCCACAATCTTTGTTTTATACAAATATATGGAAAAAGGAAAGGGTCTGGAAGGTAATTTAAAGAGAAGGACATTTCTTGAGACATGATGCTAACATTTGAAAAGGGTGGAAAAAAGGTTGCACCAGAAAAGAAAAAGATCATAAAAGCATTATGAAAAACCAACAGTACCGATAGAACTGATTTTCAGCCACGCTTTCATAAGAAAAATCTGGAATTGTTATTAACGGCACCTTCCATTATAATAATAATAATAATAATATAAACACAAAATAATAATAATCAAGGGAAGGGACCCTCCATTTTTATCTCACAGCCAATGCAATATATTCTCAAGAATCCTCTCTCCAGTCCATTATTTTCCTTTTGATTCTCTCTCTTTTGTTCTTCTTCTTTTTGCTCCTGTTACTCTGGATACGCTTAATCAACTTGCTGCGAAGCTGAAAAAAGAAAGCCACCCATCAAAAACGTTATTTTTTTTCCTTTTGTTTTTTTAATCAACAGCATCATCACCATCATGTGTGTTAAAGATGCAGAGCAGGTCTGCCAAGAAATGGAGGACCTTGATGACAGCAATAACAAAAAGACTTGGCCTTTGCTTTGTGGGGGTGATTTCTTGTGTTGCCAGATGGAGAATTGGGATGATAAAGACTCTGCTGTGGCTATGGTCGGTGGCAGCACTAGAGTCAGTATCCAAACTTCATTTCCTGTAACAATCTCTTCTTCTTCTTTTTTTTTTTAAATTTTTGTGTGAAGAGAAGGTGGCTATCGATGATACAGTTTCGTATAATTCTGTTCTGGGTACTTGTCTTTTGGTTAAATTTTGCTTCAAGTTGAGAACTTTGTTGCTGTAAATGTGTTCTTGGACAGCATTTAACTTTATGTAAAATAGCCAATTTTGATACTTTCTTCCCTTTTTGTGCACTGTGATCACCACTCATAATGGCATGTTTGTTAAATTATCCCAGTCCCATCAGCTACTTATGTTCAGTTTTCTGTCAGATTCATCTATAATGTATTCATGAAACTGTTTTGTTCACAAGAGAGATAGAATGTTTTTGCGTTTTTTTTGTTAGTCTTTTTAATATTAAATTCTTCTATATTCATGCTGTTGTTTGTTGGACTTGGAGGGCGGTCATCTGCAGACTGCCGCTTTATCTGATTGTATATATATTGGTGGATTCTGATGATTTTGTTCTTATTTATTTATTTACTTATTCCATTTCGATTGGGTTTTATTATTGTTTATAGTTTCTTCTGCTTCTGTTGTATGCTTGCAATTAATCTGAATTTTGATTATCGATAAATTTAAAAAAAAAATAGAGTGGTTTAGAGAAGATTGAATTGTCGGGTTGGGTCACTGTATATTTCTTTGTTCTATCATGCTTTTATTATTTGGAACTTAACATGTGTGTTTTTGTTTATTCAATTCTTTTTTTCCATTTATATCACATGTATTTTTCTATTTCTGGTTGAAAGATAGGTATGGAAGAACAATATGAAATTTGTTGTTGGCGTTGGACTGTATTCATTTAGTACATAGCTGCATGCTCCACGGTAGGTTAGATGATAAGCCTGATGGGAGTTGACAAAATTGGACTACTATAATGTAGTTATGGCGAACTTCCTCTTTTAAATGTTATAGAAGTTATTTTTATTGTCAGGAATGCTTGTTCATGAAGCCATAGCCAGAGATGGTTACTTGCATCTCTGTTACACCAAAATAACCAAACGTGGAATCTATTGTTATGTCATTTTTCTATAAATCAGGTTTGATGTAACAGCTTCTTTAAATTGTATTACGGCGCCTTATCTGCTTAAATTAATGTAAGTTCTTTCTTTATTGATTCACTGCAGAGTCCAGTGCTTTAATGTAAGTCGACTGCTCACGGCTGTTGAGGGTTGTAGAAAGTTCTTAGCTTTTGCTTTTTTCTCAGCTTAGAACATGCTGTTCTACTTACTCCTATATCGGAATGAACTCGAAGTGGGTTGTCATAATTTAGCACAGATAGTGGGTGACTTCTTTGACATAGTAATCTATGAAAATCAAATAAGGTCTGATGTTTATGTTTAGCTCTGGAACCAATTCAGCATGTATTGAAATCTGACTTCTTATTCTTCATCTTTATAAGGAACAGATATCTTGGTGTCACGGGGTATAAGGTTTTCCTTGCCAACACCCTTTCTAAGGGGAAAAAATCCTTACATTTTGTAGGTATAAGGATTTAGCCAAATGTTGTATGCAGCGTATGCCAGCATATGATCTACCTATCTTCATAAAATGTTCAAATATTGAATATCACACAAGTGGACTTGTGGTAAATAGTATACACTCTGATAGGGTGTAACTAGGAGTATAGTTGAAGTATGTTCAGAATTTAGCTTTATATTCTGTAGGGTTTTCAATCTACCCGTAACCCTGGGTACTTAGAGAGTGTGGTCAGTCTTTTGTTGACGGAATGGTATTCATGCTATTACATTATTATTCTTTGTCTAAAGCTTTATCTCATCTTAACCTTGCCCGTGCTGCAAGTGAGATCATTTTTAGAAGTGTGTGCCTGCAGTTATAATTATCTATTTTGCTATTTGTTTTTGTGAAGTTTTTCTTTGGAGAACTATTAATTAGTAAAATCAACACATTGACATGTTAGGCAGTTGTTTCTGGATAGGGATTAAGTTCATTTATTACATTCTCTTCCTTGAAAAGGTTTCTGCAGGTTTCTTTTATTGTATATTTCTAATAGTCTCATTCACACTTTTCTTTCATTCAGCTGGAAAGTATTTCTGAGGATGCAGTTGCGACAGACAAAAAACATAATGTGTTGACAAATTTTGTCCCCACTCTTCGGTCTGGAGAGTGGTCTGACATTGGGGGTCGTGCCTACATGGAGGATACTCATATATGCATTGCAGACTTGGCTAAGAATTTCGGTTGTAATTTAATGAGTGAAGAACCTGTTTCCTTCTATGGTGTAAGTTTGTAAACCATCCTTATTTTAGATATGTTGTCCTGTTAGACTTTCTAATATTTCTGAATACCATTTTATTCTTATGTATTTGTGGTTTATTTTAGAATATGGAGATAAACCAAACATTCTTGTTCAACTGTCGGTCTAGGAATAGAAGCTTTATGCAGTTGATCATCTTGCTGAAATTCAGATGGGTCATTTTCACATAGCTGACTTAATTGGAAAGACAAATAAGCTTTGTCATCTCTCAAGTCATCTTGTCTTCCCCATTATTAGATTATATGTTTTGGATGCATATAAAATGCTGGAACATGTTGCTTCTAATTAGTGGTTAAAAGTTACTGCTGCTGCTGCTTCTTAACATTAGCCATCTTGAAAGTTGCAGTAATAATTTTGGATAGTCCTTCCCAAACTCAAGCATAAAAGTTTTTTCAGCATGTAAACCTAACATGAATTGAGTCAGCAATTCATGTTTATGAGTTATGTTCTTAGTTTAGCTCTTTAGTCTACCCAAGCAAGGATGACCAAACAGAAGGGATAAAGGATGAATTGGATGCAGAGTTGTTAAGAAAAAGGGATACAAACAGAAGGGTATTTAACGCTCTTGATAGAGACCTTGTCTACTTATTTTCTATTGAAACATGACCTTTAACCAAGAATAGCTATCTGTTAGATTAAAAACTTGTTTTGTCAGCCAAAACTAATGCTCTTGAATCACATTAAATAAAGCATAAGAGAAAAATAAGCTCACAAGAATACATAAGCATTCTCTTTTTTGACATAAAAAACAGGTTTTTGATGGGCATGGAGGGAAGGGTGCGTCTCATTTTGTCCGTGATCATTTACCTAGAGTAATTGTTGAGGATGCTGGTTTTCCCTTAGAACTTGAGAAAGCAGTGACCAGGTCATTCATGGCGACTGATGCTGCATTTGCGAAGTCATGCTCCCTTGAGTCTGCCTTGGTTTCTGGCACTACTGTTCTCACTGCAATCATTTTGGGGAGGTAAGCACTTCCAAACCTTTTTGGGTTGGCCTTACTGTACTTTTTCTGTTTTCTCTGCCCCTTCTCTTTTCTCTGGTTGGCACGGAACAAAATGAAGATAGACATTGAGAAAGGCGACATTTTACAATTTAGTGTATGTGAGTTTGGAGAAGTGAATCAATCAAAGAGACTTTTTGTGTGCATGGTCTGGACATCTTGTAGTTTGTTTTGAATATATATTTTAATCAACATTTATGGTTTTGTCTTTGCCTGAAGTATGATCTTATCTTTGACAGGTCTTTACTTGTGGCAAATGCTGGTGATTGTAGGGCAGTACTATCACGGCATGGAACAGCTATAGAGATGTCCAAAGATCATAGGCCCTGTTGCATGAAAGAGAAGAGACGAATTGAGTCTCTGGGCGGATTCATTGATGATGGCTATTTGAATGGCCAACTGGGTGTCACCCGAGCATTAGGTGATTGGCACCTTGAAGGTATGAAGGAAACTGGTGAGAGGGTTGGCCCCTTAAGTGCTGAACCAGAACTCAAAATGATGACATTGACCAAGGAAGATGAATTTTTGATCATCGGTAGTGATGGGATTTGGGATGTTTTTACCAGCCAAAATGCCATAGATTTTGCAAGGAGGCGGCTACAGGAGCACAATGATGTGAAGTTGTGCTGCAAAGAAATAGTTGAAGAAGGAATGAAAAGAGGAGCAACAGACAATTTGACAGTTGTTCTGGTTAGTTTTCACTTGGAGCCACCTCCCTCTTCTGTCATACAAAGGGCTAGAGTCAGGAGAAGTATTTCTGCTGAGGGGCTTCAGAGTCTCAAATGCCTCTTGGAGGGATAGAATATATACTTGTTTATCACTCAGTACGTGATAAATAAAGAAGGAACTAGCTAATGATTGTACTTGGCTGTCAGTTGGGATCTTCCTGTGTATATACATTCACCAATAGAAGAAGAAAATTTGAGAATCAAATTATGGAATTATAATTCATAATTTGATAGATTCTCTTTCCCAATCATTCTTATTGGCTTCTAATGGAGCCCTAGGATAATTTGAGGAACAAATTGATTTGTATATAAGGAGCACAGCTGATTGCAAACAGAAATAATTCTGTTATTGTACTATTTTTTTAATCTAGATTATTGTACACAATTGTCATCCTCCTGATTGTGCTAACATTGAACTTTTGACAGTTTAATAGCCATCTTTTTAGTAATCCTCTGAGTCTCAAGGTAGTTTCTTAACCATAGAAGCAGGCATAGTCTCACTTTTATTGAGCTTAAAGATGGCTTTTGAATGGATATTCCTGAAGGGATGATTTCTAACAATTTCCTCTATTCGTTTAGGGGATATCTGGGGATGCAAGTGGACTCCACAGGGTCGGACCACCAAGCGGCCCCGTGTAGCCTGCGCGACTTAGGGAATCCAACTCAACACTGCCATAATGGAAATGAAGAGTTGTAGGTAAAACGCAGCATATGCTACTTGGTGCATCCAACACTAGCATACCAGCATGAAATGGGAGATTGTCTGCACGTGTTGCGTGCACGTGCACACACACCAAAATATCACAAGATTAAGAAGATAAACTCCCAAGTTTCATGACCTTTAGACTGGTTGGATCAATTTCTGACCTGGTTAGATGTCTACCTAGGCAATCACCTCCACCAGACAGAACCAACACCTTTCTTTGAAAGAATCACTTTAACAGAACTTCCTGTACAAACTAAGAGATGAAAGTTTCCGTTCTTAATCTTCTTTACAAAGACAGTAGATGCCAAAAGCTATACCTAGCAGGGGTACACCAGTTTGCTCAATTATAAAGGGTGGGCATTTAAGAGTACAAACTTAGATCTACCATAGGTAAAAAGAGAATGAAGTTTATTCTGATACAAAATTTTACATGTACAAGTGAATTGAAGATTTTCTCTGTATAAAGAATGAGATACAACACAAGACTTCGGTATACTGAACAGAAAACTGTTACATCACATGCTGCATTCTAATGAGATCCTCTTCTATGTGTACAATAGACAAAAACAGTCATTGCCTAGAGAAACCGCAGCACCTTGTGGTCACACCACTCCAAAGCCCTTTCCCCTCATTGACCCTTTCAATCTCAGATTTTGCAACACGAATCAAGAATAAACTAGCAAAGAATATAGCCACAATAAGCATAAGAAATACACTATTCCAACCCCTAGTCGAGATATACCCAGCCAAAAGGGGGCCAAGAGCTGCCCCAACAGAGCCAGTACCATCAATGATTGCAGTCACTGTAGCTAAAGCACGAGAGTTTCCCTTAATCAAGTCCTGTGTACCAAGATCAGCTGCAACGGCTGTTGTAATAAGTGAATATGGGCCATTCACTAGCAACCCAGAGAGAAACATCAATGCGATATTGGAAACCATAGAGACACTTCCATAAACCCGGTACAAAATGAGTGCTGGAATTGATAATAATAAGAAAGTTACTGAAGTAACTGCACGAGCTTCAATGATATCTGAAATGAAACCTGCCATCACCCCACCAAAGACTCCTCCAATATCAAATAATGTAGAGAGGATCCCAGCAGTTTTATGTGACAAATGCACTCCTGCAACAGCTACAGTTCCAACACAAATTTGAAATAAACATCTGTCATTTTAGCTAATCAAAGAGCAGTAATAGATTAAAGCATCTGAAACATGCTCAGGCTCCACAGCATAACACATTATAATCAACTGTTATAGGGCCATTAAATGCATTTCAGGCTATTGCCAAAGTCAATACTAGTATATGAAATGCTTAACTCAAAAAAACAAAAAAAAATGAAGATTGAATCAATGCCTGATTCAACTAATTCTTTATACTGTTTTGACAAAGTTCTGATTTGGGCGAATTATGTTTTTGGGTTTATATTGGAACTATGTCACAGGCAGATCATTGATATATACTACTGTGTGATGGTTTGGTTCTGATAGGATAAGGCAGGTGTTCTGCTGCTGAGTTTTCTTGAGTGGCATGTCCTCTGCCCATGATGTTTTGCAAAATTGTCATGGCAAGATATGGTGATGGTTTCCTGTAAATTGCTGTGGTGCTGGAATTGTTGTAAATTACTGTGTGAGGGATGAATGCTAGGGAAAGGGTTGCACTGACCCGTTATGAACATGAAAGTTTCTCTGTTTTTGAGGATTTTGATTTCACAAAAGTCAGCCTCAGGTGCAGAGTTGGGGAATGGCCCTGGCAAAGTTCAGAAGATGAAGAGTGAACGTTTCCAAGGACCTTGAGCAGGGTTATGTTTTTGCAGGTGTCTGGATGTTATTTCTTCTGATCTTCAGTGCAGGAAACATACAGTAATAGTGCTGTTTCTTGGATGAATTTTATTCAGTCAATGCCATATTTTCTGCTGTGAGATGTTTTGTTTGAGGCTGTGATCGGTTCACAGTTTAAAGGTTAATGAGGACAGCTCAGTCCTCGTCCGGTTGCTACCTGAGTTTGTGATTCAGTGTGCCACTTAGCATAAAGTTTTTAGTGTGCTGGTTGTGAACACCGGATGGGCTTAGGTACAGGTACTGTGAGTCACTTCAAGCAGTGTGGCTAAGTCTGCTTTGTTGTTAAGGTTGATGTTTTTTGTGTTGGCATGGAGGGGAAGGGTACTTGTTTTTGTATAGGGTTACAAGGGTTTAGTGATGCTGCATTAAGGGCTATTGAGGACCACAATAATCAATGCACATGACTATCTTTTGAAACTAACGGCTCCGATGTACATGGATGGCTGCCTTGTCGGTATAAGCAGGTGCTGTCTTTATCATGAGGGTTAGTTGGTTCACAACATTGTGGGTGGTTCGTAAAAATAGATGAAATTTGGTTGCAGTGGGATGATCACGGTCTTTCTCTCGGTCTATTGTTTGTATGGGAGCAGGCCCCCTGTTCCCTGGGGTTTATGCTTGATCTTATTAGCAACCAAATGTATTTTTGATATCATTTTCTTAATATGCAGGGTGGTCATGGCAGCAATCTGTCCTGCAATGAGCTAACTTGCACTACTACCACATAAGGGAAGTATTTTGTAATTAAATCCAAGCAATGAAACGTTTCTTGATGCTTTTCAAAAAAAAATTGTAAACTATGGCCCCCTTTCGTATGGCCTTGGTCATTGAGAATGCATTTCTATAGAAATTTTCCTTTGGAAATCCAAAAAATTTAATCAAGTAAAATAACCACATCAAGTGATAACAAGTACCTGTGTGCCTCATGTAGAAGGGCAACCAATACAGAAATGTATAAGCCACTAGCTTCGAGAAGAACAGGCAAAAAGCAAACGGTGCCACACCTGGCAACCTCCATGCCTCCAAGAATCCAATGGCAGCCAAAGAATCAGATTCCTCGTTCTCAAGCAGCCCTGCTTCCTCTGACTCTATTTTCTCTAAATTCCCCACACTTTCGCCCTCCACATTCATCTCAATCTCCTTTCCAGACTCCATCATCTCAAACCCCAATTCGTCAGGACTCACAACTAAAAAACAAAAAACCAAAACCCCAACCACAATAACCAAAACCCCAGGCACCAAAAACGACCAACCCCAACCAAACTCCAAAACCCCAGAAGCAACAATTGACCCAATAATATTACCAACAGAAGTATGTGAATTCCAAACCCCCATAATCAACCCTCTCTTATCTTTCCCAAACCAGTTCCCCACAACGGCAACCACACAAGGCCAGCCTATAGACTGAAAAACCCCACAAACAACTTGAACTCCCATAAAATAAGCCAACAAATGAACATCAAACCAGTAACCAAACCCGAAAATTATCGTAAAAAGGCCACTACCCAGCATTCCAAACACAAGAAAAAGCCTTAAATCAATCCTATCACCTACATGTCCAGCAAAATACATCCCTATTGCGTATGACGATAAAAATGCAAGATCAAGCTCACCGAGCCTGCGGGTTCCTTCCGGCCCGTTAAACGGGGCCCATCCGGCGTCGGTTGAGCTGGAATTTGATTGAATTGTGGGTCCTAGGATACTTTTGACAATGCTGGGGGGTTTCCGGGAAGCGTGGAAAGAGGCGTAGGCTAAGAAAGTGAGGATGAAGATGAGGATTTGATGGAAGATTAAGGTTTTGTGTGGGGGTTTTAGGGTTGGGACAAGGATGAATCCTGGAGCTAGGCTTACGGTTTTCGATTGCATTATAAATGAAAAAAAAAATTGATCTTCAAAATCTGAAACTCTTTGAACAATGAACACTGTAATTTTCGGGTGTGATTTAAAAGGAAGAAGAAAATGTGGTTTGGGAATGAATTATTGGGAAGTATTAGATGATATCCTAAATTAAAAAAAATGTAAAAAAAGAAATATTTGTTTTTACAACAAAAAGGAGTTTGATTAGAGAAGAAGGAAACTGGGATTTTAGGACAAGAGGATTGAGTTTTTGAAGTACCTGTCTTCCTCCGTCTACCTGAATCTCACATTTTCAGTCCGAGGTTTCGTTGTCCAATAATGCCCTTGCACTTGAGTTCTCGGTTGACTTTTCCATGCATGTTACACGTTAGAGTCAAGACTTGGGAGCAATAGCACTTTGAATTAGGAATTGGGGGTTCGGTCGATTCAGTCTGATTTGATTAGTTTGATTTGTTATATTTAACAGTAAAAAAATTAAATATTTTAAAAAATTAATTAAATATAAAAAAAAATTGAATTGATTAACTATCCAATTGATTCAATCAGTTCAATTTTTAATAAAAAGATTAAAATTTTACAATTTTTTTATAAATCATAATATCAAAATTTATAAATTTCATTCATAATTATAAAATATATAAATAATCTAAATATAAAAAAAAATTACATTTATCGTTTCACTCATATAATTATGTCGTTTTACAATAATCATTAAATTAACATTCAATATTCAATACAACAAAAATAATAAAATTAACACTTATAAAATAAAACCATGTAACACAAGACAATTAATCATTACACATCATCAACTTGAATTTTCTCTATAACTTGGCTCTTTACATTCACTCACATAAACTATCTAGTAATTGAAAGAATATATAAAAAATATAATTAGTATAAATTTTTTTTAATAACAAAGTAAAAGAAGATTAAAAATAAAAAAAATGTAAAAAATTATAAAATTTAATATTTACCTTTATTGAAATGTGAAGAATGCATTTTCAACCTCTTGATTTCATATATTATTTTATATAAATTTAAAAATAATATAGATAATATTAATTTGATCTTTTGATTAATTCGATTCAAAATTTTTAAAATTGAGAACCAATTAAATGAATTAAAATTTTTAAATCAATAGACATGATGAATCAATTGAATGGAATCATTTTATCCAAATTCTATTCGTTTCGATTGAGTCATTGATTCGGTCTAATTTTACTTACTCTTCTTTTTTATAAAAAAAACAAATGTCATTCTTATGTTTATAATAAGAACAAGTCATAAAGTTCAAAATTTCATTGAGGAATAATCATATGCTCAATTTTGTAAATTTTATTTTGATGAACAAGGTACAAAATAGAATTCAATTATAGCATACAAGAAATATTTTAAAAAATCCAAGATAATTTGAGTGTGCTTGAAGTTTTTAGGCTACATTTCTATAAACCAAATAAAATAAGAGTGATATTTTTTTTAACAAAAAAAGAATTTTGTTTTCTTTTGGCACATTAGTTTTTCACTTACAAAAGGTATTGAAACTTACACTAGTTTCTACCCTAAGTTATAAGTAAAAAGATGATAGTAAATTGTTAACTTTTGTATTTGGAAGAACAAAAATAAGCTGAGAACGAAGAACAAAAAGAATTTGTTGTATATTCTCGTCAAAAGAATATTATAGAAGAATGCAGGTTTATACACTGCTACAAAAGTAAAGTAACTAACTTGTTGTTTATTTACAAAACTAACCTCATTATTACTAATCTATTTACAGAAACTCCTAATTACCTTGTTGAGTATATACACAAGTATCTTAAGTTAATTGTGCATTACAATCATGTGCATAATAATAATCTTCTTTACTCCCCTTCAAGATGAGCTTGAATGTTGAGGATGCTCGTCTTGCTGATGAGTCCATGAAATTGTGCAGGTCGTAAAGCTTTGGTGAAGATATCTGCAATTCGATCCTTGGTAAAGACATACTGTGGAAGTATAACACCAGCTTGCACTTTCTCTCCAATAAAGTGGCAATCCACCTAAATGTGCTTGGTTCTTTCATGGAATGTTGGATTTTTGGAGATCTGTCTGATTATCATAGGACATGGTTGCAACAACTAAACAATTATAATCAAAGTCTTTTAACAAACAAAATAGCCAGACAACCTCACAACAACCAATAACCATAGCTCTATACTCCACCTCAGCAGAGCTTCTAGCAAAGAATGACCAAGAAATATTGCAAAACTTGTCACAGACCTTCTAGTATCTTTACAACCTGCCCAATCACTGTCTATGTACACTGTGAGATGCATGTCAAAAGTGGAAAAAAGCCATATACCTTGTCCCGATGCTTTCTTTAGGTATTTCAATACCCTATAAGCAGCTTGTAAATGACCAACAGTTAGTTTGTCCATGAACTAAGATAAAACTTATACTGAATATGCAATATCAGGTCTGGTGAATGTAAGATACAAGAGCTTTCCAACTAACTGTCTATACATAGTAGAATCTGTCAAGATTGTGCCACCATCATCTTTAGAAAGTTTGTTGTTATACTTAGTAGGGGTTGCCAGAGGTTTAGCACCAAGAAGACCATGCTCATTAATTAAATTTAGAGTATGTTTCCTTTGACATACAAAAATTCCTTTCTTGGACCTAGCAATCTCTAAGCCTAGAAAATACTTAAGTTAAGCTTAAGCTGTGTCTTCAAATAGTTTTTCACCTTATCAGAGGCCTCAACACAAGTACTAGAAATTGTTATATCATCTACATAAACCAAGAATGCCACAAATTCTCCATTCTTTTCAGTTTTTGTAAACAAAGCATAATCTGCTCTAGACTGTTGAAATCCAAACTTCAATAAAGAATTTGTAAACTTACAGTTCCATTGCCTAGACGTTTACTTGAGGCCATATAACCTTTCCCAAGCGTCATACAAATTCATCATCAGCTTTTGGTTTTGACAATGATCCTACAACAAAACCCTTCTTTTTCCAAATAAAGAGCATTAAGATGCATAATTTGTGCAAGCAAGTTTACGATTAATCACAATAAATTCGTGGTAATCGTTATGATAAAGATAATAAAAAAAGAGGATTTTCAATGAGAGAAATATTAATGGACTTTGATTTCGAAGCTATTATCAAAGAAACAAGAATGAATCTAAAAGCAAATTTCTGAAAAGCTGAATCAAGAATCAAATTAAAAAAAAATAAGAATCAATAATCTTTTGGAAGAAATGCTAAAACCTCTAGAATAAGAAATCAAAATGGAATTCATGAACAAATGAAAAACAAAAGAAAATCCTAAAAATCACTAATTGCTTTGATACTATGTTAACTTTTGTGATTTGAAAGAACAAAAATAAACTGAGAACGAACAACTAAGAGAATTTGTTGTATATTCTCATCAAAAGAATATTACAGAAAAATGCAGATTAATATACTGCTGCAAAAGTAAAGTCACTAACTTGTTTATTTACAAAACTAACCTCACAGTTACTAAGCTATTTACAGAAATGCCTAACTACCTTGTTGAGTATATATACACACGTATCTTAAGTTAATTGTGCATTTCAATCACGTGCATGATAATAATCTTCTTCATAAATGGATCAAACTCTTGCCCTCGGGTTTCAACTTTAAATATATAAAAGGTCGTTTAATTCGACCATGTGTACCTTCTGTTCTAATTACTGGCAATCTGTTCAAAGGATATTTATGTAAAGTTTGCTAAAAAAACAACAGCCATCACTTAACGACCACATAGCCAAGAAAAGATGGTTTAGCATCAGAATAGACAGCTCTAACAGTATGTCAAAGCTTAAATCAAGCATGAGAGTAAGAGTTTCGCTTCATGGCTTGCGTTGTTACTAAAGATGTACATGGTTAAAGCAAAATGTTCCCATAACATCCGCCAATGCAGTAGATTGCCCTTTTAGAATTCTTCCATGCAACCATGATGCAAGTTGGATGTACAAAAATAAAATCGGGAATCAAAAGCCACGGACGCTCAAGAGAAGCTAGATGATGGATGGGGCTACACAAGGAAAAATCCAGTTCAACCCCATACAAAACATATTACTATATCGTACAGGTCAAAAGACCAAAAACTGTGACAACTTATTCCCTATACTAATTATGAAATGTCACATTTGAAATAAAAGAAACATGGTATACCACATTTAACATTAAAGTCATGCCGCTTTTCGTGCCAACAAGTGCTCAAATCAGCAATCACAAATTTCACAACCACGGGAAGCTTAGTTAAATCCTCCATCTCTTGATAAGCTACTTTGTCTTGCAACAAGACGCCATTTCATTTCATAACCATGGGAAGCTTAGGTAAATCCTCCCTCTATTGATAAGCTACTCTGTCTGCAACAAAAAGCCATTTCCTTTCATAACCATGGGAAACTAGTCAAATCCTCCATCTCTTGACAAGCTACTCTGTCTGCAACAAAAAGCCATTTCATTTCATAACCATGCAAAGCTTAGTCCAATACTACACATCTGGCATCACTACATCTACATCTTCATCTACATGCAGTCCAACTCAATCTTCATGTTCTAGAATTGAATAAATTTAAACTCTATCACTTATACCTTAAATTTAGACTAACCTTACATTCTATGTTCATGAGCTCAGTGTAATTCATCTAAAGAATAAACTAGTTTGGACCGAATTGTATATCAAACAAATGTGCTTTAAATATCGAGTGGATATATATGACCATGCTCTCAAATAGTTTTTGCCAACTCCACTAACCTTAAATATTCCTCTTATACATGCTATTCCAATACTTTCATATAAGTTGTGCAGCATTTCAGTTGTTAGCATGTCTAGACATACACCAATCTCACTGTCTTAACTGTTCTTTACTCAAAACAATAATAAACACATGCATAAACACATGCTTAAAATCTTTCAACTATTCAAGAGCTTAAAAATAGAGACAGTCATAACAATCAGAAATTCATATTAATTATGTCAAACTAACAACCTTGCTGTTGACAAATAACTTATGAAATGATATTTGTGCCATACTAGCAATGTCTGCATGTTATATTCTACATCTGATCACTCTTAAACATCTAAACCCATCTCAATTAAGCTTATTATGTACTTATATGCCATACTGCATTTACATACATTCACAGCACACATATGATCAATAAAAAAATTGGACAGAGTTTATGTGGACACAACACACTATAGAAAAAATCAGATAACATTGTTCTACGTGTTTTTATTGGTTGTAACTGAATTCTAGATGGACTAATCTACCAGGTTTGTTAATTATTTCTAAGTGAGACACAGGAAAAAGTTAATGGGGTAATATAAAAGGCAAAAGAAGATATGAGAAAACAAAAGTATTCAGAACCAGTACCTTCTGACGTTTTGAGTTCGATGAATTTGGTTCAGAGTCACTTGGTCTACGTGAACTCCCAGGACTATTGCGCTCAGCCTGAAAATACAGCAGCATTTAGCATCTTTATTGTTGAATTTAACATCTATTTTATCTCAATTGCTATACTTTCAATTCTTCATTTATATTTGATCATGGAAAGGATTATCAAGACCTCAATCAAACAAGCAACCCATGGTTCAAACCTGGTGGGTATATGCCACTACAAAAATAACCAAGAATGGGAAGCATGCTTACCTAGGTGGAAGTATTTGCTTCCTCTGTAGGAAACAATCAACCCATGGTTCAGACCTGATGCATATTTGGCCACTACAAAAAGAACTAAGAATGACAAGCATGCTTACCTGGGTGGAAGTATTTGCTTCCTCTGTAGGCACAATACTTTGTTGTGAACTTGCTTGCTCAGATACGTACGGCATGATCTGATGAAGCAAATTAGATAAAAACACCCCTTGATCAGTAATACTTGGCTCAGCTGCTGGAGCACCACTGGACGTCTCTGCTTGCTCTTGGACAGAACCTGTAGCTGCTCCTTGTACACTGGCTTCCTCTACATTGATTTCACCACCAGGGAAAATTGCCCTTAGAAACTGAAGAACACTACTAGGAATTTGTCTCTCTGAGTCTTGGTTGTTTTGAGTCCGGCCAGCTGCTAGAATGTTGATACTGACACTGCGAGTATTGGATCGCTCCTGTTGTCTTGAATTAGGATTTGGCAATGAACCTACAACAAAAAGCAATTTGACAGTCATTTCCCGAAAGTACCCCTCTTGGTCAACTTCACCTTTTCTTTTTCTTTTCTTTTTTTTGGGCTTAATTAACCCTTTTGGTCAATTGATACAGAGAATCTTTCAAACTGCAGAAACTAACAAAAGATGTGGCAATGCAGCAGCATTGACATGTGCAAGCAAATATTGATGAAGTAGCATTCAAGCTATTTACTAACATCCTTAAAATGTGAAATAAGAAAATAAATTTGTCACGAGATAAAAGCCACTATGAAGGTATATATTTTTCCAAGCAGCTTTTTTGTATACCTTAGCAAGGAAAACTGGGAGGAACATTAACAGTTTTCTAAAACAAGAAATTTAAAAACTACAAAATGTGAAAATAGAAAAAAGGAATAACAAACAGCCTCTGGACACCACTGGGAAACAACAGCATTACGAGAACATCAAGTTCATAACAGCAAGCTAAAATTAGATGAGAACATCAAACCTCATTAGTATGTTGAAGTACTGGATTTATCATATTACCATCTCTAGTAGACTCTTCCAAACTTTGTTGTTGCGCTGTAGATTCAGGAATAAGGCGCTGCTCAGATTGAACACCATGGGAGAGATTCTCACCAGATGCTTGAGATCCCCGTTCGCCACTAACATGTCCAGAAGCAATGTGCTGGAATCTTCCAAGGAATGGGTAGTATAATCCCACAGAATTACCAGAAGAATCTGAAGGTAAGCGACCAAAGGGAGCAGGAACAGCTGCAACCATGGTCCTAATTGGCACTACCCGCACTCCTGATTCCCCAGCAAAAGATGGAGTATCTGAGACCCTTGAACTTGTTTGAATGCTACGATTCTCACTGCCAGAACCCATCGATGGGTTCCTTTGGCCTGATTGTTGAGCGGTATCACCATGTTCCTCTCGATTAACATTGGGTGTTGCCACCGATGAACCTTATTGTAAATACAACATCAGTGTTTGGTCCAACACATTATACATATCAAACAAGAGAAAATAGCCAGGTATAGCATACCTCTTCTTATTTGTATATCAATACGCCTAGGAAGAAGCCCTGTCCCAAGTCCATTTACCAAACCAGATCCAGGCTGTACAGTTCCCATGGGGATGGCACCAAAGCTAGTTCCTGGTTGAAAAGGAAGAGCCTAAACAAATACAGATAAATCAGCAGAAATTGAATATTGCTTATACCAAACAAGAAGGTTCAAAAAGGCTGTTAGAACATTGCCTGAACCATGAGAGGATTCGGACCAGAAGGGGATATGAAAACTGCAGGTCCAGCATTCACAACAGCTTCAGACTGCAAAAGAAATAAGTTATAGCAACATAGATCACAAAGGATATCAGAAAGATTTAAATGTCATTGATGTAGAATGCGATTATCTTACTGGTGTTTGACCTAAGCGAATTGTCATGGTTGTACGACCAAGCTCAAGTAAAAGTGAGCCTAGGTTCTGTAATAGAACTCCGGTTCTCCATGCAATGGACTGAGCACTCAGCCGTGCTGAGGAGTCCGTCACATTTCCTTGATCCTCCAGTTGCCTTGCAAGTTGCTGCCCATCAAATCAAAAGAAATTAACAATGTGTTTTTATCTCTAACATAATAAAACGAAATGTTGACAACTCAAAGAAAAAAAAAACTGCACAGCCATGCCAAACATTCTTAAACACCAATCCCCCATTTTCCCTTGCAGGCCAATTATTCACACCTCAATCAACAAGGAAGACTAATATATATGGCTAACACCATGCAGCTTCCTGAAAACAATGTCACCAATTTAGAAAGAAAATTAAAAGGTAGTTCAGGACACACTTGTAGACATTCTCCAGCTTGTTCAATGAGCAGTTGTCTGGTAGCGAGTAACACTTCTGCCAAAGATGCAGGTGTTGGAAGACCTTCCTGTACAGTCCCTGAATTTGATGCAGAGTTAGAATCTCTATCTCCAGTCCTACTCAAGGATGCTGCCTGAGGATCATTTCCCCCAGCTCTACCTGGCAGTGAGATGAGTTGCAAATCATCAATGAACCGGTACTCTTTGGAGTAACAGACAGATAATATAATTATACTTTTTGACAAAGGAAAACTAACCAATGCCATCAAATTCACATCGTAAATGACTCAGATATTGGGACAAAGTTGCCAAAGAATCAGGAATAACCTACAAAAATAAAGAACATTGAAAAATATAAAAACTTTAAGCCCAAAAAGAAGTATGCACACACAAGATTTATTTCATACAGAATAATTGAACAAATCAACTGGGCAAATACAAAGTGACATACATATTAGTAAGAAAGTTAGGAATTATAAACTCACAGGAGGTTGCAGAGGCCCCAAGGAAACTGCTGCTGGAAGTCCAAAAGCACTATGTACTCTATCAGATTGACCCCTCATGCTAGCTTGTTCTGTTTGACCCTGGGACGAATCTAGCATGCCACTAGCACCAGATGTTCTTTCAAGTCTTTGTGAACCATGTTCCTGTTGCATCCAACAACTCCAATGAAGTAAGACCATATGGATTTAGACACACATAAAGTTGACTAAAGATATTAAAGCATATAAAAACCTTTAAGGTGTGTTTGGTTCGCAGGAAGGAATAGAGTGGGAATGGAATAGTTAATCCATAGGAATAAAATATGAGATAATTATTTTGTAGTTTGGTTCATGGGAATGGAATAGGAAAGGAATTACTATCATAAATTATTCTAATGTTTGGTTGACAGGAATAGGTTTAGGAATAACTAAGGAATAAGTGATAAATGACAAAAAAACAATTTATTATAACATTTAATTTGTAAAGTAAAATATTTATAATTAAAATATTAATTTTATTCTTTTATTTTTTATTTTTAAAATATTAAAATATAAAAAATTTATAATTTAACTTTTAAGTTTAATATATTAACTTTTTATAATGTACAATTAAACTTAAATCTTTTAATTTTAAACTCATTTTAATTTTTTCTTTTTTATTGTTAAATTTTAAATTCATTTTAATTTAGTGAGAGAAGGAGAGAGATAGTTGGGTAGAGACAGAAAGAAATTGAAAAAAATGAATAAAGTGTATTTTAGATAGTAAGGTAATTCTTTAAATTAATAAAAACATTTTCATCCATTAATGTTTTTACTTTATTCCTTGCCTCTTAGAATAGCAATACCTTGGGGAGCTCAGTATTGGCTATTCCCTCATCTCCAAGGAATGGCCATTCCTTCCAGCCAAATAAAGTGTTAAAAAAGGATTACGAATAGGAGGGAGTGGCTATTCCATTCCCCCGACCAAACATGCTCTTAGATTTTAGAAAAACAAAACCCAAACTTTTCGAAGATGTCTAAGAATTGTCAATATTCATCCTGTTAAAACATGGCCTAAAATGAACCTCTGAAAACTAGAATTTTGGATGTTTGACTCTCATGGATCCCTTTTTTCAGTTATTTGTTGCGTGCCCAAGCACAGATAGCAAATACAGACATTTTCATTAAGCATCAAAGCAACAAAAGACTAACAAAAGTTGAATCAGACAAATGACTGTCATTACTTTATGAAAATTAAAAGGTTAAAACTTACCCTTACATCACCCCCAATATTTCCACTTCCAATATTTGCAAATCCGAAAGAGCCAAGAACGGCAGAGACAATCTGCTCAGAAGGGAAGAAGAGTACTAAAATTAAGAAATCATCGTACTGAGATATATTTCCCCTGTAGAAATATTCTCCAGTTCACATCCAGTTGCAAACTTACCCGACTGATCTCAGGAGGAACTCCATCCCCTTGATCAGGCACATTAAAAGTTTCTATCACAACACTTGGGGCTACATGATTACTATGACCACGGCTTGTACCTGATGCAGAATCAATTGCTGCAAATGATGGTGCTAAATGTTAATAACTAAATCTTAACCAGCTTATTTCATAAGCAATGTACAATAAATTAATACTACAAACACGTATTATCAAAAAAAATATTATTACAAACACATTGCAGCTTGTACTGGAGAAAGGGTAACAGGCATACAAAACGGAATGCTCATCCAAGAAGCATTCCTGGGTAACTTAAATGATAAGAATGATGTCGTATCAACATCAGCTACTACAACAAAAATTTACCCTCTGCATAATGGTTAGAAGTCTGCACTTTATTAACTACAAAAACACTCTCAAGCCTTCAAAAAAAAAAAAGAGACATAAAATTGGCTTCATCCTATGCCAAAAAATTTCATTTTTCTTATATAGATTTCTCTAGACACAAGATGGATTCCTAGCATCAACCTCTTTGCTTCTGGGAAAAACTGTTTGAAGTTGGGATCAACATTTTCTCCTACTCATGCTACTACCACTACCTCTACTGCGAACGCAACATTTTTAACTATGTTTATGGAAATGTTGTCCAATAATTTTGATAATATAATATAATATATAGATACATGGACATCTATATTAACTACCAGTATACCCTAAGAATAAAATAGTCATTTTTTTTGCAAGGAGCTGCACGAGAATACATATGTATATTAATCCACTTCAATGACTACCCCAGTCTTGACCGGAATATATTACTGCATATATGAAAGATGCTGCATGATTAGAAAAGGTGCAAGACGTTGAAAGCATAACAAAGCAAGTTTTAGAGTTATTCAGTTCTGATGCTACTAGCATTCTTGTAGTGAACATATTGACACTTTGTCCGAGTATATTTTACACCACTTCAAGATGCTAAGAGCACGTTCATATCACATGTGTTTGTGCATGAATCAGAAATAAAAGATAGAGTCCCAAAATATCATAAAAGTATTAACACTGAAGTTCTTTTCAGATTAACCCAATATATGAACCTGAAAGCAAAAAGAAGTTGATGGAAGCCCTTAAAATATAAGCTGGAAAAAGTTAGTAGCTTGCACATCATTAACTCTTCAATGAGTTTTTATTCTTCATTTTTCTAGTCCAGAAAGAATGGTGGCTTAGTGAAAATCATTAGTCCCTGTACATGCTTATACTCTCACTGATCAGCGCATCACTGGTCTGTGAGCTTCTTGCTAATTGTTGGAGGACTACACAGGGACTAAAGAGAGCAAAGTAAGCATCATAACAGCAATTGTAATGAAGGATATGCAGTCTGATCTTTTATAATCTTTTTAGTCACATAAACACTGAAACTTTAATCACCTATACTACTTCCTCTCGACATTTCATGATGAACATGTAAATAAGCAACAAGGAAGAACGAGAATGTATTAATTTGTTAAATTTCTTACTAATAGTGGGAGAGAATTACAAACTGTAAAATTTTCAATGCAAAAACTTAATAACTGTCCCAATTGATATATGACATTACAAGACTACCATAGCAAACAATGCAACCATTTAATTTACGAGTTAAAAGTTTGGCTAAACATAATAAAAAACAGGTTCCCACACACAGTCCCTGTGAGAGTAAATTTGGGCAGCTTTACCCCGAGCTTCACAGGCTGTTGCCACACCTTGAACCCATGACCTCCAAGTCACAACACACTTAAAAAAACTGAGGATTGAATGATTATTTCCTCAAGAAAAAAAAATCTGAGTGATAACAAGTGCTTAAATGAGTAGAATCCTCTTGGCTTAGAACTTAACAATAAAAGTCAAACAGTGCATTTATACTAAATTTGAATGTAAAAATAGTATTTGTTGTTGAATATATTTACTAAAAATTCTTATCCTGATATTGAAAGGATATTACTTGTTGAATATAGGTATTACTAATTATTAATCATCTGACGCTCGATATATATTAAAACAAGAAGATTAGAATAATACTCTTTGTTTATAGGTGCAAACCGCAAAGGACACTATAGCATTTGCACCCTATAAAGTTCTAAAAGCAGCAAAGAAAATGAAGAAACGATTACGATGCTATTTGTTTGACATTCTTTTATAAAATTCAAATTTATCATTCAATAAGGAAATAAGGATCAGTACCCTTACAGAAGCAAGATTAGTGGGGAAGGTGCTCTAAATACATGTTTCTTTTAACATTTGCGGAAGCACCATTCAAAGGACTTTCATACGAGGTCATGCACTTGTAAGACCAAGGCTTTTACTAATGGCTTATAATTTACCATAAAAAATTTTAACAAAATTATATAAACTATTTCATTTCAGCAAATCAGTGTAATTTCTCATTAATGCAATTGGAAGGTTAAAATGATCCAACAGAAGTTTTGTAGCCCCTAGCATTAAAGTATTCTATGAAAAAGGAAAACTGGGAGAAGGGGGTAGGAGGCATACCTATATTGTGAAACCACATATTATGCCCAACATTCAGATAATAGCAAAGAACATAAAAAACTCTTTACCAGGAATACTTTGTTTCAAACATGTATGTGGCAAACAATAAAGTGAAACAAGCTTTTGTAAAGCATTATGCTAAGTTCAATACTTCAAACATGTCAAGTATTAATTAGGGCCAGTATTAGTAATCCATCAAATACAAAGCTACTAGCAAAGACATAAAGGCTTTTGCATTAAATAAAACTAGATTAAAGAGCCCATGCAATTTTCTTTTCCTGAAAGGCATGAGCCCATGCAATGTTTGTATCAAAATAAAAATGATGACAATGGATCCTAAAGTGCAGCAAAACCTGAATGATTAGGTGAGCCATCTGATGATGGTGGAACTGGCTGCCTGACCACCATGTGCAATGTGTGACCATCCTCGACATCTATCTCAAGTTAAGAAACTCAGATCTAATTCTAGATGCGAACAGATAATTACATTGTAAACAGTAATACATGGCTACCTGAAAAAAAAAAAAAAAGCCATAATAAATAGAAAGGAACAACTTCTTACCTAAGACAATCAATAAAATGTGATAGTTACTTTACAAATCAATATGAATATTTAAAACGAAAATGGATACGGTAAGCAGAAAGTAGTTGGTCATCCTTTAGAACTTTCCCACGACAGATTAGTCGTTGTTGCTCTGATAACACACCAGTTACAGAAGCAATCTGTTCTTTTAGTGCAGGAACTGGCATCTGTAAGATATAAGAGACAAGTAACAACATAGAGGAGCACAAATGTTAACAATTTCACATATAAAATCTAGAACAAATACACTAGTATAAGTGGCAAGCCAATCAGAAGGAAATGAAAAGATATAAGTTTAGAAAACCTCAAGTACCAACATAACATATCAGATTCCATAAAGTAAATAGCATAGTAATTGTAGGAAGCTATCATACCAAATTTGATGTGAACTGTTACTAGCAAAATTAGAGAACATGCTTACATTAACAATTCAAGTTCTTCAACAAATGAAGAAAATATATTATGCAAAGTCAGAGATCTGTCAAAAGAAAGCCGGGCAGAAAAACTTCTAAGTCATATACGCATTAACAAATTGTAATCGGTCAACTGAACCACATATCAATACTACACACCTTCAGAACTTAGGTTAGATCATGACAAAACAGCTTTAGAGTTATTTACCTGTTTATCTACTCTCAAAGTATAAGTCTGAGAGTCCAATGTTTTTATTTTTATTTCAATTGTGGTCTCAGAACCTTCAGTTTCACTATCCCTTGGAACTTTATCAGCACCAGTGCTTCCCATTATTCACTGACCACACAGACACCTGTAATGAAGAAACAAAACATAAATTTTTCATTTTGTATCAAACAGCCAAAACAATATGAAAAATACTATTTGCCTCAACGCTTTTATCCCAACACGTTTGTCTCACCCGATTAGGTGATAATGTATTCATTTGACTCTAATATCTCATTTATAAATTAATTGATTAACATATGACTTGATAGCCATCTTTGAATTTATCAAATCATAACATGCTATGTCAGGGACTACAAAAGTTCAGAAAAAAGTGATAGGGGAAGCCTCAATAAGTTGCATCATTACTAAGGGGGTGTTCACTGGAAATTACAGGGAAAAAAAAAACACAAGGAAAAAAATCTTGCTTCACTGCACGAAATCATCAAAATTTTGCATTCTCTTCTCCATAAAATACAAGGATACACACCTATGTTTAGAAGTTCAGTGAAGTACACTTTCAACAAAACTGAATTAGGTTAGCCATCAATGATTCTATCACTTATTTATTTTCTTCCACAACCCCCCCCCGACAAATGAACAAAAATGATTTTTCCACAATACATAAACACTAAGGTAGATTTGGGTTATGGAGAACGAAAGAAAGGTAGGAAATTGTACCCTCTCCCTAGTTTGAGAAACATTTAATGGAAGGGAAAGATTCTTCATCAAAAGTTCTTTTTACAAACAAAATTGCCCTTTGATATAAATATAATTAGGAAGAACATGTAAGTTAGTTTTCCTTACTTTTCTACTCCTTAGCCAAAGAAGGTCACTCAAGCACCCACTTCTTTGTTTCGTATCCCTCTTCTTTTTTAAAGCAATCAAAACAACAGGAGCCTCGTCTTCTCCTTTCCCCTCCTCTCCTCTTCTTCTGCTCTCTCTCCCTTCCCTCCCCTTGTAGATATTAAACAAAGGCTGTAAGAATACTCTTGCACACATGAAGTGTACAAATAAGAGTAGAACTGTTACGAAAGATTGATGCAATTTTCCATATAATTCAATCTCAAACTCAACCCCATCTGCCCAGTGTGTAAAAAAGGCAGTCTAATTAATTTTATGATCCTTTTGGCTCTCATTGCCATATCTTGTGTGCCATAAATTTTATAGAGATAAATAATGCAGACTCAGAAAATGAGCAAATCTCCAAAGCCCCAAATAGAGGATAAGTACACAAATGTGTGAATTGGAAAATGTTTCAACAAGGCAGATTTAGTCAGATCAAACCAGAATTAACTTTGATCATGACAACACAAATTTCCCCCACATGCCAGCAGAGTGACACCCAGATTAATGAAATTGACACTGTAAAGGCTTTTAGATTCATATGATCTTTAAATGCAAATCTCCTAGCTTTAACCACATGCCAATGGGTTTTTTGTCAATTGTGCAAAGCATGAACATTCTGTTATTCTGGCATATTTAAAGAAAAATTAACAAGACAGCAAACTGATTTATCTGACAAAAAGGTCGTTTTCTCTCAAAAAAGAATTTTTTTTCTTATAAAATAGCCAGCTTATGTATCATCAACAGGTCTGCCCCACTTGATGATGCATGACAGACTTCAAACAAGATAATCAACACCTATAGCTCAAAGACAGAGTAATAACAAGAAGAACAGTACAAACTGTTGTCTCTGGTTTTGTAACTTATTTGTGGGAAATGGAAAAAGACACAAGGGAAAAGATGCAATAACAAGCACAAAGCAAAAATCATGATGAATTACAAAAAAGAATAATAAAAATTTATTTCCATCTACCAAACTATCCTTACAGTTTAGGCAAATAATTTTTTGGCCCCAAAACCAAGGTTGTAACAAGTTGATGGCTACAACTACAATAAGCCCCATTTGGTAAGTCTGGAAACTTTCCATAAGTCATATTGATCTACCAGAAATATGTTAAGGAAAGTGATTAAAAATAAAGCGATGCAAGGAAATTGAATTCTAACCCTCTGATTAAAAGAACAACTTGAAACTCCATAAACCAAAAAATGTAATTAAAAAAGCATCCTGACCAAGTGAAATGCTTAGGCATAATTGACGATATGTTTACATTCTGTGTCATGTTTCAATCTTAATCTCCTTCACCTCTTGACAAGTATCTGAGATTCAGTATCTTGAATTCAATTAGACATCATTTCAATCATTGGTAAAGCAGTTGGCATTAATGTTGCACGGGATTATGAGAAGAATTTTCAACTCTCTCTAGACAACATCCATGAATGATTAGTACTGCTCTCATATCATCATATGCTAATGAACATGTTTACATTCTGCTATAAAGTTCATATCCTAAACGTTTGAAAGCACATCCAAAAGTATTTAAAAACATACGAAAGCCATACTAAGTTCAAACAAAATGGAATCACCAACCTTGTGTAATGAATTCATAATTTGTCATACAAAAGCCCCAGGAAGCTCCCAAAAGGAAAAATCACAGCTTTCGCCTTGAATGAATCAAGAAAGCTTCAGGTTCATGCAATTAAAATCCATTTGCAACTCCATGCACTTTTAACATCAAAAATATTTCTTTTGTGGTCAGCCATACAGAAATAGAAGCAAATTTCCATTCTCCTGATATGCCAGGCACCAAAATATTGATACCAAACAACAACCTATGTTTTGTTAATATCTTAGAATTCTCACAACCAAATGACAACACAAATCCATTAACGTTAATATGGTCCGAAGGAATTAAAAACACGTCTGGCATCAAAAAATTGTTTGGTCCTAGACAAAGCAGCAGTAACCCATCATCACTCACCCCTTAACCAACACGACCACATTCTGCCCACTTCCTAACATAAACAAACTTCAAAGTCTGGATGCTAATTACTTACATTCTTCAATACCCACCAAAGTTTTCAGCTTTAAGGCGCCAAGAATCATATAACAGAAATATGAGCAAAATCATGAAGAACAAACTTTACCCCGTCATAATTATATATCAAAGAACCATTTCCAAAGTTCTTATTCCTACGCTTACATGCAAGCAACAAAAATAAAGAAAAAAAGAAAGAAAGAAAGAAGCAAGCCTCATCAACATAGAGACAAGATACCCATGTCCCCATTTGATCACTCCATAAGCAAGTTTAGGGTTTTATTAAATTCCAAAAAAAATGAATACAGGAGGCACGACCTTTTTCGATTCTAACCCTCAAGAACAGACTAAAAACTAAAACTTTAAAGAATCCAAAATGAGACCCAAAAACAAAAACCAAATTACATCATCGACAAGGAATTTCCATCAAACATAGGCAAAATAACATAATTAGAAGTTACCAAAGATGATATATACCTTGTTCAAGATTGAGAAGAGAGAGAGAGAGAGAAAAAGATAAATGAACTCTCAAACAACGGAGGTAGGAGAACTGATAGAGTGACAGGGAGATTGTAGATATAACCAAATTGAATCGAGAGAAGATACTCTCTCGTCTCCCTGTGCTTTCTTTTTTCCTTCTTTTTTTTTTTTTTTT